AGGGACCTCAGGAGGTCATCTAGTCCAACCCCCTGCCCAAAGCAGGACCAATCCCCAATTTTTGCCTCAGATCCCAAATGGCCCCCTCAAGGATTGAACTCACAGATCTATGGCTTCACACTGTATTTCCTAGGTTTGTCTGGCTTTGAGTCTCTTAGCAGCCTGATCTGTCCCTCACAAAGTGTTTCCTAAAGATTGAATTCCCTGTGGTTTCCAACGGTTTAAATCAAAGAGATTGAAAGGAGGGTACAGCCTGCGGCCCCAGGGAGACTCAGCCAGGCTTCTGGCATGGAGCATCTCCCCCACACCGGGGAATCCTCCCCGCACAGAATCTCCCAGCATGGGGCACTTTCTGGAGCTGAGCAGAGGCAGGAGGAGGCATAACAAAGACAGCCCTGCACCCTGGTAATTCTTTATTGCTGTACTGCCCAGAGGGACTGTGGCAGCAGGGTGCGCAAGCTAGGGCAGCCTTCAGGCTGCTCTAATCTATGTCTGGGGCTGATCCATCCTCCTTCGGCCCCAGCAGTGAGAAGGTGCAAAGCCTCCCCTCCCAGTCCCAATCCTGAGCCCTCTCTTCCCCCCAGCATACTGTAGAAAATCCGACCCTTTCAGTTCCATCACACTTCTTTGCCAAGGAGACCTGGGCTCCCCGGTTCAGGTGCCCCCGGGCTGCAGTATGTTTCACAGAGCAGCGGAGATGCTGTGCCGTGCATGGGCTCTGAGGAGTCTGCCTTTTGACCAAAGTGGGTTCTGATGAAAGGTGAGACTCCCCAGCCTGAAAATCTGGAAGAAGGGATTTCTGGAAGCGCTGTAACTCAACAGCTACTGTTGGAATCAAAGGTGTCTTTGAAAATTCAAACAAGCTCAGATTTCTCGTTCCAAGTACTTTTTCTCAAAACAATAGAACTCAAAGAATGCAATGGTCCCCTTGAAACAGAGTTAAAAAATTGCAGTGGTCCTGTTGAAAGGAATCTTTGGTGCAATCTCTGGCCTGGTCTGCACTAAAGGGTGAGCTTGACATAGCTACATTGATGAGGAGTGTGAAAACCCGTCTCTGGCAACAAACCCTGCCAGTGTAGACACAGCTGTGTGGATGGAAGAATGCTTCCCTCAACGTAGCTACGGTCACTTGGGGAGGGGCTGCAGACTATGTCTAACCTACAGGGCTATGCCAGCATAGCTACGCTGGTATAGTCATGGTAGTGTAGACATACCCTGAATGACAGAGCTGCCATCAGCTCCTCCTGCACGGAGCAGTCTCCCTTCCTAGAACTCAAAGGGCTTTGCAAAGGCGGGTCAGTATCATTAGCCCTGCTTTCTAGACGGGCAGAGTGAGGAGAAATGAACCACCCAGGGCGCCAGAGGCTGCTGCAGGTTTGGAAGCCAGGTCTTGGTCCTGTGCCGTGTCAGGGCTTGCCGTCACAGCCGGACTAACTCACGTGGTTACTAACGCCCCTTTCAGCTGAGTTACATGGTGCGTTCAGCCCAGGCAGTGGAGCTGGAACACTCTGAATAGTGGGGATGCTGAAAGCCAGCTCCCTTCCCCAACCACCCCCAGCCAGAGCTGGGGCCGGGAGCAGGGCCGTGTCTCCGCGAGGCAGTGGAGACCCAGACAGGGGTAAGGGGGCCAAGGCTGGGGCCACAGCTGGGAGCGGGTGCGGGGCTGGCAGCCGGGACCCCAGGCAGTGGGACAGCAGCCAGGACCCGGGGGGTGGGGGGCAGTGGATCCCCACGTAAAACCTGGCAGTGCTGCAGCACCCCCCTGTACCCCTAGTTCCTATGAGCCCAGGCTGGCTGGGGGTGGGTGGGTTAGAACTTGAGTGCTGCTTTCATGCAGTCTGGAACCCCCCTGCTTTGCAGTGAGGATGCAGGCTAACTCACTCTAATGCCTGTAATCTTCCGGCGCCTTCCCACCATCCCCCGTGTGCCCAGGCAGACAGAGGAGTTTTCCAACAATTCAGTGGGAGAGAATTGCGGAGGAGCTCAGCTGTCTGCAGCGCTAAGAGCCGTGGGATTGCTCCAAAAGTCCCAGCACCACACCCAGGGAACACAGCACTAGTGCAGACCTGGTAACTCGGGTGGGGCTTTGCAGTGTGGGTGCTCTGCCCTGGACTAGGCTAACCTGGCTGCTCAGAGCTGGGGGCCGAACACCCAAGTTAACCCTGCAGTGAAGAGACACCCTCACGATTCCTTTGGGATGTCTTTCTTTTAACAAGTCCAGGGAGTGTGAGTAACACAGGTAAGGAGATGGGTGTGCTAAAAGGATGTCTCACCACACTGTCACTGCAACCAATTCTCTTTGGGCCAGGTTTGCTGGCAGCTGATGCTGAGCACCGTTTCTTTTGGCCCAGTTCTCTCGCTGTCAGATATCTGTACTTCTTGGGGTTCTCTGCAGCAGGCATTTGAAAGGGGAAGCCAGGAAAGCACACAGGCCGCCCAGAATGGTGAGGAACACAACATAACCGTGAGCTGGACGTAGAAGGTTTCATAACCCACCCTAGCAGTCAGTTCTTGCAGGGGAAGCCATCTCCCGACTGCAGTCAGGGTGGAAAGTCAGGGAAGGGGCATGAGCTGAATGTGCAGGGTAAGAGGAAGGTCCCAGTCTGGAGAGGACACCACCCATACTTTGTGGTGTGATTGTCGGCCACGCATGCAGCCAGACCCACAAGAAAGCAGAGGTTAAACGAAAGGGCTGAGGCATGTCTCGGCAACAGCAAGGCCGAAACTTAGAAGAGAGGGAAGGAATTGTTATTTTTCATGCTACCGTAGCACCTTGAGATCCAAATCTGGGTCGGTACCCCACTGGGCTAGGGGCTGTCCACGCAGCCCCGAGGGCTGCTTGGCTAATTCCAGAGAGGGCTGTAATGAACAGCAGGAAGGAGCTGATGGGGAGCATGGATCAGTGGGAACGTGTGCTGATCCAGGCTGGAGCATGCGCGGCTAGATGGGGTGGAGTTGTTTTTAAGTACAAAGGTGATGAGATATCAGGTACTAGCAGAGAATGAGAGAAATACCAGAGGTCTCTAGAATCGGGACCTGCGGCTGAGGAGAGAAGCTAATGCTGCCCAGCAAAAGAGTGAGCTAGAGCATTAATATCCAGCCCCATCCCTGGCCCCACTGCAGCAGGGCAGTGTGCGCAGGCCCCATGGGAGGTAGAGTGTTGGGGCACTGCAATAATCCCTCTGGCCCATATAGGAGCAGCTCCAGAGAGGTGCACCCAGCTCTCTTCGACAGAAGGCTGGTGGCCATGATGCAGGCCTTTGAGGGCAGAGGTTTAAAGAGGGAACTGGGGGATCGTCCAGCCAACAAAAGGGAAGTGGATGATCGTCCACCACTACAACCACCCACCCCCAGATCAGAGGAAATGGAACGGGGCTGGAGCAGGTGGACGTCCACAGAAATGTTTCTGGGAACAGCGTCTCTTCTCTGTGGGGAACCCAACGCCCTGGGCAGGCTGCCAGGGCTCCTGCACTGAGGGCCTGATGCACAGCCCTGCAAAGTCACTTGAAAGACCCCTGGTGAATGCTGTTTGCACTGCAGGCCCTGTGCTCGGGAGAGCCCGCTTCAGCAAGCGAATGGAACACAGCCCTGGGCCGCAGAGCCGGCCTGGACACACATCTGCGAGGCGGTCCTCGGGCAGAAGAGCTGTCTGGGTGCATCGCCCTGTGCAGTGCCTTCAGTTCAGCAGCCGAGGCTGAGTTGACTAAGCGGTGATGGGACAGGAAGAGGGAGACGGGTCCACATGCAAAGGCATCCGCTAGAGTCACGCTACAATTGGACCGACCTGCAGAGCCTGGGGCCTGGGAAATAACGCAGAAGAAGTGAAGCAGAGAGTCCAGAGGGCACAGAAAAGCGGGTAGGCCAGGCCAGCCGCAGGGGAGGTAGATGGGGAAAAAAGGAGGAGGCCAAGTCAAAAAAAAAAAAAAAAAGATACCAAAGCTTTTCCTGGGTAACAAAAATGGATAGATGAGAGGCAAACACTCCAGACACACTGGAGAAGGAGCTCCCCATGGCTGTGCTGGGAGTGGCTTCCCTGCAGTCTGGAACCAACGCAGAGTCTGCTTCAGATGTCTCAGGTGCACAAAAGGGCGAAGGGTGTTTCCATTCAAGGCACATTTAGTTATTCTGTGCAGAGCCGCTGCCTGTTTGCCGGTTGGGAAGGAATTTGAGACTGTATTGTTCACGTCAACAGCTATTTGGACACTTGTCCCCGTAAAACAACCAGGAGAGATCCTTGACTCTAGCTTGATGAATGCAACTGGGTATTGCAGGCTCTTTCCAATGATTTAAACTGGGGTGTGTCAAAACAAATCAAAGCTTAAATCAAAGCAAAGCCCTCAGGGAGTGTTAACGGGAAAACCTAACAAAGACACTCGATGGGTCAGCCTTCACTAATTGCTGGTCATTTTAGCGAGGGACTGGGGAAGGGAGAAGGGGAAGCCCATGTGGCGGGAACTGGGAGTCACTGATGGGAAGGGGACACAGATAAGACAGCCAGGGAAGGGGGAGAGGAGGATGGGGATGGAAAAGCAAAAGGCCATGACAGCAGGGCCCTAACTGAGCAGTGTTGAGTGTGATAATAAGGTGCTGAACACAAATAATAGCTAAGTTTACTCCAGAGAGGCCATATTCACTCTTTGCTGTTTGTGCAAACCTCACGTTGGAACCGGGGTTGGGGTGGCGAGGGGGAGTCCTCGATGGAATGAAGGATGGGTGCAGTCCTAAATTTATACCGGGCTGTCATTCAGGCTGGAGAACAAGTTTGATGCCCTAGGTGACACTGATGAGCAGGCGTACAGGAGACTGCCCGATGACAAGGAAATGGTTTTGGAGGGTTGCTTTGCCTCTCACCTGTACCCTGTTCTAGGGAAGGCTGGTTCATGGGCATGAAGAGAGATATGTGCCACGTGACCCTTCCCGCCGTGATTGGTGTTGTGAGATTGATGCCCATGCTCTCCTGGATACTAAGTATTTTCTTTTTCACGTCTATCTTGTTCCAGGTGTTTACACTGAACCCTTTTGAAATGAATGGTCTGCCCAAGGCGGTGCCTTTAAATTTGCCTTATCAAGACTTTAAAAGGGATGTGTCAGACTCTAGGGAAAAGCCTAGGATCATCCAGCGGATAAAGAAGGTCGACTTCTCAAACATTGTCTTGACCGCTCCTTGCAAACCACCGGAGCCCCATCTGGAACTGAATGGGGAGTGTGAGGAGGAAGAGGAGGAGGAGGAGGAGGAGGAAGAAGACGAGGAAGAAGACGAGGAAGCTGGTTATTTGGGAGAAGAGATTGACATGCACAGTAGCTCCAGCAGCGATGTGAGCCAGAAAAGCACAGAGCGCAGTCAGGAAGGGGCGCCATCCACTCTGCTGGCCGATGATCAGAAAGAGTCCAAGGGCCGAGCTTCCATGGCCGATGGCGATTTAGAACTGGAGGAAGGCTCCAAAACACTGGTGTTGTTTTCACCGGGTGACATGAAGAAGTCTCCACTCACCACCGACTTGGCGCCAGATGTCGATCTGGGGACACTTGCTGCTTTAACGCCTCAGAGCGAGAGGCCGCAGCCCCTGGGCAGCCAGCTGGATGTGTCGGAGCCCGGGACCCTGTCCTCCGTCCTTAAGTCAGAACCAAAGCCTCCAGCAGCAGTTTCCACGACGTCCTCCCCCTTTACCAAAGTCGAGCGCACGTTTGTTCATATTGCTGAGAAGACCCATCTGAACATCATGTCTTCCGGCGGCCAGCTGGTGAGGCATGAGGAGTACTGCCCTCCGGGCCAACTGGAAGAGATCATCCTTGAGGAGGAGCTGGAGGAGAACCTGGGGTTGGTAGAAAATGGGAGTGTGAATTCTGGTTTAGAAGGGGGAGAGATGGAAAGCTGCATGCTCTCGGTCAATCACATCGAAACCTCCTCGGAGACGGCGGGGGAGCCGCCGACGCTTCCCAACGGTGTGGCCCAGTCCCCGGAGGAGAGGCTGGAGCTTAAAGGCAAAGCCGCGCTGGCATTGGATTTGGAAGAAACTGACCGGCTGGTTTCAGGAGAGCCTAGCTTAGAAAAGACCATTCTGGCGACCGAACGCCTTACGCAAACCGAGGCTCTCCTGGGAAAGGCAAAGCAGGGCCCTAGGAAACCTCTGAGTGCCAGATACAGAAGCCGGATTCCCATTTTGTTCTCCGAGGAGGACACCGGCTCAGACCAGTCGGCCTCACTCTCGGCCAAAGAGAGGCTTCACAAGAGGGCCAAGCAGCCCGACTTGGTTCGCCTAGTGATGGAGAGAAGGCAAAGCCGCCTCCTTAGACTGGCCTCTGGGGCCTCCTCCTCAGCCTCCTCCAGCGACGAGCGGAGACGTGCCTCAGAGACCCTCTCGGCCACCGGCTCAGAGGAGGACACCCATGACTCAGACGACTCTGTCCCAAGGAGGACGGGGGAGGGGAAGGCGTCCCACCCAGGAAGAGAAGGGAAAACTTTAAGCACAAAGAGCAAAATCCCTCGGCCCATTGTGCCTGCAAGGACGTCGCCAGCAGCAGTGAAGTTCGGGAGCCCAGCAGCACCAGGCAGCTCACCGCTTGATGCAGCTCTCACCGCCAGGTCAGTCACCGGCACGGCCCTCGCTCCTCGCCGTGCAGGTCTCCCATCCCCCATTCCCTCGGCCTGGCCGTGGGGTTCCCCCCTGTCCCCTGTTCTCTCAGCCTGGCCATGGAGGGAACCAACCCCATGTTCTCTTGGCTTGGCCGTGAGGTTCCCTCCACCAAACCTCCTTTCTCTTGGCCTGACGATGGGGTCCCCCCCATCAATCCCCTGTTCCCTCGGCCTGGCCACGGGTGCCCCCTACCAGCCCCCCGTTCCCTCGGCCTGACCATGGGGTTCCCGTCTCCACTTGTCTCCCTTCACATGCTCCATTTCTATTTAGGGCAAACCCAGCTGTGTTTAGCTCTCAGTTCCCAGCAGCCTGGGCCTGGCCCTGGAGCCCTGTGGGGCAGGGTGGCCTGGCCTGCCTACGTAGAGTTGCCAGGTGTCCGGTTTTCGACTGGAACGCCCGGTCGAAAAAGGGACCCTGGCGGCTCTGCTTGGCACCACCGACTGGGCCATTAAAAATCCGGTCGGCAGCGCAACAGGGGCCCGGGCCACCCACCCTAGCGCTACACGGCTCCCGGAAGTGGCCTCCAGGTCCCTGCAGCCGCTAGGCGCACGGGCGGCCAGGGAGGCTCCGTGTGCTGCCCCCGTCCCGAGGGCCGGCTCTGCAGCTCCCATTGGCTGGGAGCTGCAGGGGCAGCGCCTGTGGGTGCAAGGGCAGCGTGTGGAGCCTCCCTGGCCGCTCAGGCACCTAGGGGCTGCAGGGACCTGACGGCCGCTTCCGGGAGCCACAGTAAGCGCCACCAGGACCCTGCACCCCAAACCCCCTCCCACACCCCAACCCCCTGTCCTAGCCCAGAGTCCCCTCCCACACCCAATCTCCCTCACAGAGCCTGCACCCCGCCCAAAAACCCCAACCCCCTCCCCAGCCTTCTCCTGCACCCCAAACCCCACATCCCCAGCCCCACCTCAGAGCCCACCCTCCCAGCTGGAGCCCTCACACCCCCACCCCGCACCCCAACCCCCTGCCCCAGCCCGGAGCCCTTTCCTTCACCCCAAACCCCTCATTCCCAGCCCCACCCCAGAGTCCACACCCCGAGCCAGAGCCTGCACCCCCCCACACGCTCCGAACCCCTCGGCCTCAGCCTGTAGCTCCCTCCTGCACACCCCTCATCCCTGGCCCCACTCCAGAGCTTGTTCCCCCAGCCCAGAGCCCCCCCACACACACCCCTGACCCAGCCTGGAGCCCTCTCCTGCACCCCCAACCAGAGCCCTCACCCCACCCCACCCCCCGCACCGCAACCCCCTGCCCCAGCCCAGTGAGTGATGGTGGGGGAGAGAGAGTGACAGAGGGAGGGGGGATGGAGCCTCTGAGGAGGGGCAGGGCAGGGGCGGGGCCTCAGGCAGGGGGCGGGACAGAGGTGTTTGGTTTTGTGGGATTAGAAAGTTGGCAACCCAATGCCTATAGTTACCAGAGGGCCACATCCGCGAGGGCCAGCACTCCCCTTGGAGCTACGTTCACAGAGCACTCCCTGTGCAGGGGGCCTGGAGCCGGGCCCGGAGCCCCGCACCCTGTGCTGGGCGCAGCCGAGGGGTAGAGGCCAGACAGGGCAGATGGGGCGGCGCCCTCTTCTCTGATCAGCACTGGGCTGGTGCCCAAAGCGCCGTGGGGCTGGGCCCTGTTGTGCTGGCTGCCACCTGAGGGAGGCCGGGTCTCTGCCCAGAGAGCTGGCAGCCTTAGGTGACGCGACCTGGGAAGGGCTGTGGAGAGCAGACACCAAGCGCAGTGGCATGGAGGCAGAGGGCTCTTGTCATCACACGAGCGAGGATTGGCTTTGCTGCCTGCCCATCCCGCTACCGGCCCATTTCTCCCACCCCTCCATGGCCTGGCTTCCCCACCTGCCCTCCCACCCCATGGCCTAGTTTCCCCACCTGCCCCTTAGTCCATTTTCCCACCCACCTACCCCACGGTCCATCTCCCCGTCTGCCCCTGGGCCTGGCCATGAGATGCTTGCGGGTTTCCTGCAGGGCTCAGCTCCGGCACAGGGTTTTCCTGCGCCCAGCCCTGGCTCTTAACCCCAGCCTGGCCCCTCCCCGGGCCAAGCCGGGAGCCCCGCAGCCAGCCCGGCCCCGAGAGCGGCTCGGCGTTAAGTCTGAGGCAGTTCAAGAGAGAAATGCCAGCGTACAGCTCGGGCCCCTGAGACACGGCAGCCAGCTCCAGGCAGAGGCTATGCGTGCCAACGAGAGCGCCAGGCTGCCAGGGGATTGCCTAGCACCAAAGAGCCCAGAGCCTTGGGTTTACCCCCCTCATCTCCTCTCTCTCCCTGCAGGCTTCAGAGGACAGCTGGGACTGCGCCCAGTGACTCCCCACTGAAACAGATCCAGAGCCGGCTCCCTTCCTCCCCGAGTCCGGCTCCTCCTCCTCCCCCGTGGAGCTCTGCTCCCCCCTGGAGCCCCAGCCTGCCCCCACGCAACCTCAGTGCTTCCCCCAGACGGGAGAGTCCTTCGCCCTCCTGGCAGCATAGGCCAGGGTCTGCCCTGCAGCGAGTGCAACCGTCTCCCCGCCCTCAACCCCGCGTCCTGGCACGGGGGCTGCTGGGAGATCCCCCAGCCTCCCCAGGCCTGGCCAGAAAAGGACAAAGAGGGAAAACCCAGACTCAGAGCCCAGCAACCAAAGGAAGGCAAGTGGCCGCGGAAGGCAAGGCTACGGCCAGATAATGATCTTCTGCCGCCCACCCGTCAGGCTGGCTAACTCCGGCGTCTAGTGTAGACCGAGCTGCCGCCGCCCAGCCCTCCACGCCGGACCCACGAGCGGCGAGCAGCACGTCAGCGCTTCCCTCCCCCCCACGCCCGCGCTCGCGCCCACGCCGTCCAGAACCAGCTGCCCCAGGGCGGAGCGCCTCTGCCCCGCCGAGGGCTCAGCCGCAGCGCACGCTTGCTATTGCAAACCACCCAGCAGAGCCTCAGGCAGCCTGCCTAGGGCCTGCCCCCCGCCCCCTCCGGGCCCCTGCCCACGCCCCTTCTCCTGCTGCGTGAGCAACACCAGAGGCTCCAGTCCAGCACGCTGACATGGGCGCTGCAGAGCGCAGCAGTCGAAGCCGGGGGAGAGGTGATGACCATGGGTGCTGCGCCCACGGGAGGAGAGGGCTCTGGGACTGGAGGGAGCTGACCCCCCTCCCCCCACACACAGTGTGTTGCTCCAGGGAGCCCCCCCCCCACCCCCGGGCCTCGCCTGCTCTGCTTGCACTGACAGTGGTTACACCCAGCGAGCCAGGGAGCAGCCCCTTGCAGTGCTCAGCCACCTCCATCTTGACTGGCAAACTGCCCCACGGAGGCTGTCGGGCCCAGCGTGCAGCTGAGGGGTGGGGGCGGGGGCCCAGCCAGCCTTTCCTACTGTTGCCAGTCACAGCGCCACACTAAAGAGGCGGGGGGTCACCGAATGCCTTTCGTGTGGGGGCCCTTGCACCGAAACGCCTTGCGCTTTGCGGTCATGGTGCCAGGGGGCGGTGGTGGGGCTGCACAGTGGCGTTAACACTGTGGGGCGGCGGGGGCGGGAGAGACTGCTGTATCCAACAGACAGGCAGTGCTGCTCTGCAGCCAGAGACGGGCTGGCCTGTTACTGCTACAGGAGCGTATAACTAGCTGATTTGGGCAGGTGGGGTTTCCGGCTTCCTCCTCTTGCACTCTCAGCTCACTGACGCGCTGCGGGAGCACAGACCAGGTGAATGTAGTGGCAGGGTCAGATTAAGGCCCCGGCTCCGGATGGCATGTGATCCCTGCCGACCCCCAGCTCCCTTTAAAACCCTTTTAGCCTTCATGGCTGGGAAGCAACGCTTGAAAAACATGAGCCACGTGTGACCGATGCCGCAATGTCTGCCTGAGTCTGCAGAGAGCCTGAGACAATCGCTCTGAGAAGGACAAAATGCTCTATGCATCTCAATGGGGGCAACGCCAGGCCCCACTGCTCTGGGGAGCCCTCCCTGCACCATGCCAGCACTGGGGACTGAGAGTGGCAGAAGAATACAACACACACTGCCCACCCAGGCCTGCAGATGCACCTGGCTGCCCACATAAGTACTTGCAGATGACACAAAGTTTGGTGGGGTGGTAAAGAACGATAAGGACTGGGCTGGCCTACAGCGCGCTCTGGCTCGCAGGGTACGTGAGCTCACTGCGAGAATAGGCATTAAAAAGAGCCAAATGCAAGGTCATTTTCCTGCCAAGCAAGAACGTAGCTCACGGGGGGGTCATGTAGGGTTAAGCAGGGGAATAGCAAGTAGACACAGGGGTACAGCAGTAGCAGGGCTGCCAACACTTGCACTTTGTGTGTCTCTCCCACTAGTCGGTCTTTCCCTTGAAGTCTCCGTTGCTGGAGTCGTGCAAATCCCACCAGCCAGATTATTTTTTAAGACGCTCTCGAGCCTGCCTGGTTTCAGACACTTTAACCCAACTGCTGCCTCCAGGACAGGACCAGCAGCCGCAGGGAAAACCCCACACTGAATTTTTTTTTTTTTTTTTGGTCATAAATTGTAACCAATGCCGGGGGGGGGGGGGCGCTCCTGCTTTTAGGCTTTGTGACACAACATCAGTGAGCCCATAACTGGCTGCTTGGGGGCGGGGGCCCATGGCCAGGAGATGTTACACATTGGAAAGGGGTCTGACAGGAGCCACAAGCATGTTTACATGGCTGGAAAACCCCCCCTGCCAGCAGCAGGCTGGCACCTTGCTCCTACCATAAACCCTGGCTGCCCAGGAGCGTCTACTGCCTCCGGGCCGGGAGAGCCACTGCGGGCCTAGGCAGGGGGCCAGAAGCTGGGACGTGGAAGGCTGTGTGGGGAGGGGAAAAGCTCTGGTGAGCGGCAGAGACAGCACCAAGGCTAGGCGAGCCGAGGCAGCGCGAGGGCAGAAGGGCCTTACACCCCAGAGCCGGAGCTGATGTCTCCAGCTGCGCGGGCAGGCAGGGGAGGGCGCATTTGGCTGGCTGCTTTGCAGACCCAAGGGCAAAGGTGTTTCTACTGCAGTCACAGCGTGGGTTTGTGGCAGAGCAGAGAGCCAGCTGCAGCCTGGAGTGGGGAAGCCCCAGCTCTTCATCAAGCCTGTGACCTAACAACGGTCAGCAAACAGGCCTGCTGCAGGCAGGCCTACTGCTTGCCCCACGCTTGCTCCAGCAAAAGCGGGGGGCCGGGGGTGAAGGGTCTTACTCATGCAGCATTGCCTGGTGACGTGCGTGTGAACGGCAAAAAGCCTACTTGTGTACCCACGCGTGTGAGCGGCCCTGGGGCAGCAAGGGAGTGGTACTGTGGGTGACGGGCAGCAGCAGCTGGGCATTTTAAGGGTCAGGAGCTTGGTACCAGCCTCCCCAACTGGGGCCTGAAGCCTGGTGGCTGCAGCTCTTCGGGTCAGGGCAAAGCTGGTGGTGGTTGGGGGTCAGGAGCATTTTGATCGCACGTCCCCAGAGCAGGCAGTGTGCGACTATGACTCCTCCATAAACGGGGGCAAACTAGCTGCCTCATGGGCTGCGACACCTCACATGGACACCAAGGGCAGCTGGCCGGGGCCCTGAGCCTGCTTCCTTCTCCCACTGCTTTCTACCCCTTGTAGCTTATCAAGAACATGCCATGCCCCTGGCACCAGGCTGGGCACACCCACCCAGGTAGGCAGCCTTGTCTACACACATACTTGCACTGGTTTGACTGCACCAGATTAACTAAACCAGTGCACACCCCGGCATGGAAACCCTTGGTTTAAGACCAGCTTTCCGTGGAGTAACATAAACCTGTTCCCAAGCAACTTTAGCTAAACTGCAATCAGCCCCTTTTACAGTGGGTGGTCCCCCAGGGGCTTGCACGGTTTTAACTAAATGGGGTTACAGTTACATTGACACCTTTAGCCCAGTGCAGCGTCTCTATGGAGACACACCCCGGCGGGCGCAAACCCAACCCAGAGCAAAGGCAGGTTTGAACCACGAGCTGAGTGTCTGCCCCCCCTGCCTGACTCCCAACTTTGCGAGCAGGCCGAGTGTCTTCCCCTGCAGAGGAGTGACCAGCCAAAAGCTACAGGCCCGCCTGCAATACAGCCAGAGCTGGGCCCTCTCTGCAGGCCTGTCCCTGGTTGGGACCTAGCCTCAATACACCCCGCACTGGCCAGCCGCGGCTAGCCCTGCCCCAATGCAATCGGAAGCGGAAGCGGCTGCTCGTACTGGTGAAGCCCAGCCTGCATGGCAGTGGGGCTTGCTCTGCTACAGGCTGACCGCAGGACACTAGCTGTCCTGGCCTGGGGTCATTGCCCCCGGGGCATGAGGAACCCCACAACCCGCGCTGCGATCCCTAGTGCCCACAGCTGGCGAGCGGTGTAGGGGCTGGCTGTGTACACACAGCGCTAGGTGGATGCTGCTTTTCATCTGCACCGTGTCACACCCTCCACCAGTGCAAAGCTGCTAAAATGGGGTAGGGCTCCCCTGTGTGTGGCCAGAAGCCTGCCTTGGGGCCCCCACGGCGTGTGCGCTATTCCCTGCATCTTTCCCGACCTGCTTTCCTCCTGGAGGGGGCTGCCCATTTAGTCCCTCTTGCCTGCTGTGGGGTTTAAGGGAGGTCAGACCCCTGCAGATCTTTAGTCCCTCTCTAGCCAGCCCCTGGGGCCAGCACTGCCTTAGGCAGGGTGGGGGGGCTTGCAGAAAAAACAAGGATTTTTCCTCCCTTTTGTTCACACAGCTGTAAATAAAACAGTCACACGCTGTACATTTAATGCACCCTCAGCCCACGGTCCAGAGCCAGGAGAGAGGCTGCTGCTGCTGAATTCATGGCTCGATTCTGCCCTTTGGAAATCAAACCTTTCCCCTGAGGAATGAAGGTTAAGGGCTGCCCCCGGAGCTGCGAGCTCAGCACCTGCGCCAGCTGGGTCGCGAGGGGGGTAGCTGCAGGGGGACAGCGGGGTGCTCGCTGGCAGATATGGGGGTCTTGCCCCCCAGGTTGTGCTGCCACTTACACCATGCAAAATGAAACCCTCTCCTCCCCCTTACACCCCCTTTCCACTGGAGCGCGCGGCTGCAGGAAGAGGCAGGCCGCGGCCCGGCAGGCCCTGTCTTCCTATAGTGCAGGCAGGGAGCATACACGGGGCTCAGGGGGACTGTGAGGCAAAGCCAGGGAAACAGTATCTTTGGAAACAGGCATCACTACCCCAGTGCTGTATTACGTGCCCTGGGCCGGTCCGTGCCGAAATGCTGGCAGCTTTGCAGAGCGCTGTCTGAAGCGACGGCCCGGGGCTCTTAACTGTGGCCGCTACACCGGGAGCAACCCCGTTCATTTCCTTCTTCTCTGACTCAGCCAAGCAAAGGTCCTGACCTGGAGCCAGGACTCTGCTGCCCGGCCCTGCTCCCGGGGCCCCCGGCACCCCCTCCACCCGTTCTGCGCATTCTTTAGGAAAGCCACTCGAGAATGTTTACACGTCGCAATCGAATGTACAACTACCACCAGGGACGGCGACGCTGGCCTAGCTGCATGGCAAATGTCTCAGCCATCACGCCTGGCATGCGTCACAGAGACCCTGGCTGAGTACAAATCCACCTGCCACCCGCCAGATCATGGCCTGGACCATCTGATGATGCATCAGACGCAGCTGTCATTATTAGATTTGTTCTGAAAAGGGGATTGTCGATCATGCCATTAAAAGCCTGCCTATCTTTTCATTGGTGTCTTCTGCCGTTTTATTTGGTTTCATCCAGGTGATGTGCTGTCAGTGAACGGAGCCCAGCTCTTCTCGTGACAGCAGAAAATCCTGTTCCATAAAGTTAGAGCTCTTTCAAACTGAGCCCTGAGCGGTTTCCCATTCCTCTAGACAGGGCCACCTCATGGCAACCTGGTCCCACTGCGTCATCCCTAAGTTCCCCAGAAAGCTCAAAGTTTTCTGATTCCTCTCAGCTCAGCGAGGTCTCCACAACATGCTGTTCTCCCCTCCACATTGTACACCCCCCCCCCCCCGTCTTTCCGCTGTAGCAGCCAGAGCTTTCCCCCAGTCCCATGCTTTGCTCAGTGGCCCCACCCCTACCTATGGTGACTCTCCTTAGCCCCTGCAGGCCCAGCCTTGGGTGAGATAAGGGCTCTCAGGCCCTGGCTGCTCCCTGCTGGGTCTACTCTAACCTACGCTTCATGACTTTCCCTCCTCAGAATGCCCCAACATCCATTGCTCCTCTGCAGACCATGTTCCTTATGGGGAGCAAGGCAGACAGACCAACAAGGGAGGAGAGGAGGTTTGAGAGCCAGAATGATTCTGAGATGTCTGGGGGAAGGAGAGTGGCAGCTGTTTGGAGAGCCTTTTAGCCAGCAGGAGCACATCTGTCTGCGATGCATTCAGGTGGAGGAACCAAGGGCTGGCAGAAGGTGTCAACAGGGATATGAACAAGGATAAGCCCATTGACACAGTGGACTTCAGACAGCCTTAGACCGGGTTCCTTCACCGAAGGCTTGTAGGCAAAGTGAGCAGTCCTGGGATAAGAGGGAAAGGCCTGTCACAGATCAGTATCTGGTTAAAAAATAGAAACAAAGACTAGAAGTAAATGGTCAGTTTTCAACTGAGGTAAATAATTTGCCAGAGGATGTTGTGAAGGCCAAGACTATAACAGGGGTCAAAAAAGAACTAGATACTAAATTCATGGAGGATGGGTCCATCAATGGCTATTAGCCAGGATGGGCAGGGAGGGTGTCCCTAGCCTCTGTTTGCCAGATGCTGGGAGTGGATGACGGGATGGATGGCTTGAGGATTCCCTGTTCTGTTCATTCCCTCTGGGGCACCTGGCATTTGGGCACTGTCGGCAGACAGGACACTGGGCTAGACAGGCCTTTGGGCTGACCCAGTGTGGCCGTTCTTATGTCACTCCAAGGGGGGGGCGGGATTAGAGCAATGAGTCCTGGGGGCAGCATAGAAGGAGGCAGGGAGTGAGACACCCCACAAAGAGACGGGTCAAGCTCTGAGCTGGGGGGGGAGGAGGGTGCGTTTCCATGTGGTGAATGGGAACTGGTTAGAAAAGCAGGATTCAAGGCAGGCAGGCAAGAGACGCCTAGCAGCCTCCTGCTGCAGGGCAGCAGCCCACTCCCCTCTCTGGCCCCCAGAAGGGCCTCGAACAGCTCCCGCCTTCTGCCCCACATCCTGCCTCACCTCCCAGAAGCATACATCAGCCTCCTGGCTCACACTCCCCCACCTTGGAGCGGAGTCCGATGGCACCGCACAGCGGCAGGCATCGCACAAAGCTGCCTAGGACCCTGTGCTGAACCTCCCCCGGCTCAGAGACCAAAAGGCCAGGAATTCCCCTTCGCCCGAGCTGTCTGCACCTGCGCTGAGCCTGGCAAGGCTCCTGTGGGACAGTGGAAGAGGGAGATATGGGGAGAGATGAGAGGAGGGGACCGGCTCCTGTCCCAGGCTCAAGCCACCCAGTGGGGAAGCTGGGGCCCTGAGGCCGGGCTCCAGCCAGCAGGTTCCAGCCCAGACAAGGTGCCAAGCTGGACCCCAGGCTTGAGACTTGCTCTGTGTACGGAGCAGGGGGACAAAGGCGCTGCAAAGCAGGGGGGGGGGGGCCTGGTTTATTTGCCAGTGGTGGTGATGTGGGACGGGGCAAGGAAACAGCCCACGCCCGCCACCACGCCCACACCAACCAATGGGGCTGCCCCATGCACATCAGCCTGCAAAGGTGACGGGGCAGGGGTGAAGCCCTGGGGGACAGAGGCTGGACACGCCCCATGAAAGGGACCCAACAGAGCCGTGACACTGGGACCCTTTCCTGGGAAAGGTTAATGGGGGTGCTCTGGGGTGCAACGACCTCATCAAAAGAGCAACTTGATGAAAAGAAATGGACATGAAATTTAGGCTAGAAACCCCCCCCCCCCACACATTAACGGTCCTGGCAGAGCACAGGCCGGCCTGGGATGAGCTTTCCACCCAGAGCTGTGCCAGGGCCCCTCACTCCTGACCCACCTACCCCACTGCTAGCCCAGCCCTGGGCTCCACTCCCTCCCCACAGCTCTGCCAATGCCTCTTGGGCCTGACTTGATGACCCCTGGCCCTGGAGACGTCCCCCTACCCCAGCTCTGCTGGTGCCCCTCAAGCCGGACCCGCTCCCCTTCTGGCGTTGCAATTTTCCTTATTACATGGTGTTTACCAGCCTCCTGGATTACTAACGGCCTAGGAAGTGTGGCAGCAGCCTCATGCACTCGAACCTCACCCTGCTTCTGTCCACATACAGAACAGAACTATGCCTTGAACGCCTCTGTCGGGCCTGCAGCGTTGTCAGCACCATGGCGAGCCCCATCTAGCAGTGGGTCCATACCAGAGCTAGGATGTTTTGTTCCCAATAGACTTTACTGATTGTCCCTCGCCCTGTGCCATGGGGGCTCCACTCACCACTGGACGGCGCCACCTCCCGGCGGTTCTGGGGATTAGCCCTGCCAGGCCGACACCCCCGCCGGCAGTCGCACCTCAACACTGTCTCTTCTGCTCGCTGTGGCCCCTTTCTCCTTCCAGGAACTGCAGCCTCCTTGTTGTCATTCGGCCCTCCAGCCAGGTCACTACGTGGTTTCCCCTTCCAGGAACGGTCTCTGGCACTGCCCTGATGGTGCCACTTCCCCAGTGGGCGGTAGGGGAACCCAGGGACCTTTACCCCAGGTTCCAGTCCAGGGACCTTATACCTGGCAACTGAGCCAGACCCTGTCGCTCCTTCCTACAGCTTCTGGTCCTGTTCTACTGCCCCCAGCTCTGGGTGTCCCAGCTCACACTCCCTCCTTCCAGGGAGTAACTACAGATGACCTGCCTCTGTTGCCTCAACCTTCTTTCAGGGAGTGACTGCAGCCTACGTCCCTGCAGCCCCCTTCTGGTCCCAGCTTCCTGGCTTCCTAAACCAGATCCAACCTGCACTTTTGCTCGGCTGTTCAAACCTCAATGCATGACATCACTCCCCAGCCTGTGGTGGCTCTGAAGACTGTCACCTGTCATTGCACAGACTGGACTGGAGCACAGTCAGGGTTGCTCCACATCTCAAAAACCTGAGAAGCTGCATTAGCAAAGAAAGAGCGTTCAGCCACCTACCAGCACACACATGCCCCCCCGGGGCAAACCTCAGCAACGCCACTTTACGTCACAGCTCATGCCCCCACCTCTGCCCCGAGGGATGGCAGCCTTCTGAACTGAGAAACCTCAACTCCAGAGCCCTTGGAAGGTAGGGTTACCAAATGGCCAAGCTCTCTGCTTCTCACGTGATCTCAGCACGCTCTTCTGAGCTGGGAGAGGCCAGTTCTGCTCACATAAGAGCTCTGCGTTCAGAGGATCCCCTTCATGTTACGACCTCATTTCAAGCCAAGACTGAGGCCTGGAGTAAAATTCTCCAGTTAATTCTTGGTAACCAGGCGCTGCTGACATGCACCTACCAGGACCCCTTATGCTCTCGCTTTGGAAGGCAGCTACCGACTCTCAGCACTCGGCCACAGGCCGGCACAAAGGTTCAGAATCTTCCTCTTTGCCAAGGCACATTGGGTTCATCCAGTTATTGGAGCCTCTCTTGCTAGCCCGGCCCTTCTTCACAGCGGTGGGAGGCTACAGTCACATACACGCTGGAAAGAGAGGACGAGCTCCGGAAAGCGAGAGACGTGTCTGTGGCCAGAACTGGGTTACGTTTCTCCTTCCAACAACTATGAGCGGACGCCCAAGGAATCCAGCTGCAAATGGCCCCATGGGCCCCTAAGTGTGCAAGGTACCAATCCCAGCTCGAGGGGACAGCCCCACGCTAGCTCTGATCCACAGAGCTCACTAGACAGAAGGGGCGCTGCAGCAGTGCATGTCGTGGGAGGGGCTGGAAGTACCTCGGGTCTCGGGTGGGATGGGACTCAGGGCAGCTAGCCCCTCCTGCTACCCATACCTCTGCAGGGACACGTCTGTTTTTCATGAGTTCGCTCACTCAGAGCTACCTGGGGTATGGCTCCTTGTGCCGCGAATCACAGCCCTGCTCCAGGTGCGGACACACCCTAGTCAGTAGGGCCACTGGCCTTGAATGACCCAAGCAAAACTTTGTGCTAATCCCATTACAGGCAGGAGACCAGCATGAAAAGGGACAGAGCAATAATCCTTTAGCCTTTCCTGCAAGAACACAAACCGGGGCACCAGCTGTGACAGCAGCATCTCCATCACTTGCAGCTGAATCCGACACGGGGCATCAGCTTTCCTGTCTCAGATCCAGCTGCGGGACACTAGTGCTGGTGCAGGTGAAAGCTGCTTCTCGTGAGCTAGCGGCTGGTAAATCTTGGAGAGGCATTTCCCACAGGCCTGAAAAGGATTCTTTTCTAGCTCCCCAGCTGCTTCTACATGAGCGCACGCGGCAAATGAGCAAACTCTTCTCGGAGACAGAGCACATCAGTCTTTTCGTCTTCAGCTATTCCGGACCGTGCACAAGGGCTGACCGGTTCATATGGCGTCCCTAGTGTTTCATCAACTCCAGTGCACAGTGTTAGGGTGACCGAATTTCCCAAAGGGAAAAACCAGGACACTGGCCCGTTCCCCGCCCCCCTCATGGGGCTGGCACGAGCAGCTGGTCCGAGCCCTGCCTGCGCCCCGTGCGCTCAAACCCTGCCTTCCCTCTCCCCCTTGGAGCCCAGCTTCCCACACTGCAAGGCTGGCTTCGCTGCTTGTCCCCTGGCACGTTCCTCTGCACCGCACCCCACTTTCCTGACAAAAGTGGGCATCAGTCCCCTTTGCTCTGGCCAACTGATCAAGTCAGCAAGAGCAAACAGGAGAAATGCCCACTTTGGCCAAAAGAGTCAGGACTCAGGGCAGGAACAGGACTTAAAAAAGGGACTGTCCTGGCCAAAATGGGACATATGGGCATCTTACACGGTGTTGACAGTTGCTTTCAATTACAGTGATGTGTTAATAGGTCATTGTTTGCCAGCTAATGACTTCAGAGCTGATGCCCCAATGCCTGCCAGTAACAGTTTTAGTGCTAAAGGAAAAGGAGGACTTGTGGCACCTTAGAGACTAACCAATTTATTTGCGCATAAGCTTTTGTGATGCATCTGATGAAGTGGGCTGTAGCTCACGAAAGCTTATGCTCAAATAAATGGGTTAGTCTCTAAGGTGCCACAAGTACTCCTTTTCTTTTTGCGAATACAGACTGACACGGCTGCTCCTCTGACACCAGTTTTAGTGCTGGAAGTCAAAGGGTGATAGGTAGTTGACAAACATCAGTTAGCGTTTCCCTGCCAGCCAGCCAGCCGTCTGCGGCACTCAATCGGTCTGTGTGCATCTGTGTCTTTGGCATTGCTATTTTGTCGTGGTAATGAATCAGCATTTTACACTTGCAATGCGATTTCTTCTGGATTTGAGAAATCGACTCCTTGGATGACATGATTTGGGATTTAATGTCTGCACAACTGTTCTGCTCCCAGATCTAGCCCAAGGGGGACTGTCCGTTCGCTCCCGTCTGCACTGCTGTGCCCTCGATAGTTATCCCTCCATCAAAACCAGCACTAGAACCTTTCTTGGTATAACTCACGTCGCCCAGGGGTGTGAAAAAGCCCCCCCGTGAGCGACACAAGTTACACCGACAGACACGCCCGTGTGGACAGCGCTGTGTCAGTGGGAGACGCCTGCTCTATCTAGTGAGAGCAGGCGGTGCACGCGGAGGAAGGAATGAAGCCCGAAGAGTGCACTGTTTGGCTCGCTCGCTCTCTGCTTACACGCTGATCTTCAAGGAGCTGCTCTTGCAGCTTTGCCCTCACCCTGGTCAATCCTCGTTTGTGTCCATGGTACACACAGGGAGTTAGAAAGGAAACACTCATGCTGGAAGGTTGCCAAGTCACACGACTTTATTTCTTAGACTCCAGGAATCGAACACAACCGAATGAAGAGAGAGAGAAAGCAGGCTGCTCCCTGAGGCACAGCTCACCCTGCTCCAGATTAGCTCTTTCGCAGGCTGACTGCTGAGGACCCTGGTCACACACTTCTCAGAGCCCCCTAGCCGCCCCCCCCCCCCGCCCAAAGTGACAGCCTGTAACGGAACACAGGTTTCAGTCCCCGAATACAGCCTACATCAGGCGCCTGGGTTGGCATTGTGGCTGCACTGCTCGACTAGAGCAAGGCAGCTCAGTCATGCTTGCACCAAGCTCTGAGCCTTTGATTTTTAAACAATGGCCCAAACTCAGCCCCCTGTTAAACTCCTGCCAACCCACCAACAGCAACGAGAGCAGGGGCTGGTGCAGTTCATTTCAGGGTTACCTGGCAGAAATGTGCATCATGACAAGACGACAAGTGACACCACTCTGTGGTTTGTGATCTCCACCTAGCACCTTACTGGATCTGGGTTCACTAGGTCTTCACCTCGGTGCTGGTGTTCTCCTGGTGTGGGTCCAGACTTGGGCTCACCAAGACTTCTCAGAAGCCAAGTATGGCATATAGGGGTTCTTGAACACCACCCAGGGGGCCACTTCCAGCAGCACTGACGAGCCATACTTCTTTGCTATATTATTCTGTATACGGCATTCGCGCCTGAGGGCTACAGTCAGAATTAGAGCTCCGTTGTGCTTGGTGCTGTACAAATGTATAGGAAGACAGAGCCTTTGCCCCAAGGAGTGTATGATCTCCCCTGTAGAAACCTAACCAAGAAATGTGTAAGATCCTATGTCATGAACTCAGCATCACTTCTTTACCACAGTTTCCACAGTAGTTTTGAAGTGCTCGGTCAGGTATTATTATACATGCTAGCAAAGCAAACCACCTGAGCAACTTCTGGTAAATAATCTTCTGGAGACCAGGACAGTGATAACAGGATAATCCCTGAGTCAGCAACGAGTATGTGTGAGAGCGCTCACGCTAGGAGCTGCATGTCCCACTCCCTTCTGGGAGCGCATCCTCTCAGCACTCTATCCCTTGTTGAAGCATTGGGACAGCAGTCCAGATCTTCCCAGAATGCATTGGTACAACCACAGGTGGGCAGATTGGTAGGTATGGACACACAACATAGTTGACACACTGTTCTGGTGAGGAAAAACCAGTTATAAAACAGTTGTATTTATAGGGTAAACACTTGACCCTATTGAAGTCATTCATTGCCTGAGAAATGTTTCAGTTATGGAGATTTGTAAGGCTGCCACATGGAGTTCTGTTCATCTAAAAATACAAAGCTCCACCAGGGATTGGGACCGTTGCCTCTTTGAGCAGCGTAGCACATCAGGAAACATTCCACCCTGATTCTTAGCTCTGCTTCATGCCGAGCCAGGGCACAGAGGGAAGGGGGATGTTTGGCAGAAGCATTTTCTGGAGAGAGAGAGAGAAAGCTCTTAGGCTCTGCTAGAGCACTGTAACTTAGGGCTCTAAGCATCAGGTTTGACACACTGAGCGGGCCTGGTGCTACAGGTTGAGTTCTGGGCAGGGCTGGCATAGCCCTTGCTCCTCGATGCAGTTCCATACATTTTACTTTGTGATTTTTTTCAGTCAAGAATGAACGATGGGGACTGTCCACTCTGTGTGAGCCCTCAGAGCCCAGAATGTGTTTGGAAGGGCAAGGTGCTGCTTCATTGGCATTGACAAACACTGCCCGCTGTGTGTTTCCTGTGCCCGCTGGTGACCGCTCTCCCCCTCCAGGGGCCTGCAATGCCGTGGTCTTGTATCTGTAGCATATGTAAAGCACTTTGGTATGAAAGGGGCTGTGGAAATGTAAGCTGCCGCAGTACCCTTAATGGGGCCAGGCTAAATCAGGCATCTTCTTTAGTGGGACATCTCCCAGGAAACTGACTTAGTCAAATAATAGCAAAGGGTAATGACTGCAGCTTAACTGCAACAGTGCTCGCACAGGGTTCTGAAAGGTGACCTGCAAAGGGGATAAAATGGTTGGTGCCCTTTTCCCCGACGTAGAAAAAGGCCAAAAACCCTCTCTCCTCCCTAACCCAAAAAGCTTCTCAGCCCCTAACTGAAGGGCCAGAGGCCTGAATATATCTGTCATGACTGGGGTGGAGAAAATAAATGAGGAAGTGTTATTTACTCCACAGAACACAAGAACTAGGGGTCACCCAATGACACTAATAGGCAGCAGGTTTAAAACAAACAAACCCTCTCCTGTGACTGCTCTGACTGGTGCGGGCTCCCTCCCTTTGCCCAGGTGCCCCCTTCCTTTTGCGGAGCATGGTTTTCTGCCCCTTCTGACAGATCCCTTCGCGGTGGGACGTGTGTGCTTTCCGAAGCCGGCTGTGGTCCTCCTCCTGCCTCCAGGGCTGACTGATTCACTGCTTTAAACAGAGGCAATTTGCACAATTCCCTTGTCAAGGAATCAGGCCAGTTTAGCGAACATGTGGAGGGCTGCTAGCAGTAGCCAGCACCCATCAGGAATGTGCCCCGGCTAATTGTGACCGGCATCTCCCCTGGGAAGCAACTAGCCACTGCGCCAAACCATGCAGTCACAGTGCTTCCGTCCAAATGATCCTCAAGCAGCAGGCGAAGGCCACGATGCTTTCACTTGTAATCGCACAAAGGATCCTTCCGCTAGGTATTTCCCACGGGGCACCGAACAGCCATTTCTGGAAACATCTTTGTTCGACTGAAAGTAAGCACTGCAGAAGGGAAGGCTCCATATTTCATGATCAATCCCGAGTGCTCCAGGTCCCTGGCTCCATTGCCTGGTCCCTCCGCACGAGGGTTTGGCTAGAAAGCTTCTATGACTTTGAAACATGTGACTTCTTTTCAGTTGGTCTCCAGTGCACATGAGCAGGGCGATTTCCTGTTAAGTAGCAGAGTTTCACATTCACGTTGATTACCACCCAGAGGTGGATCAATGTCAGTGAAACCCATGGAGGAAATACTCCAGCCCTTCTGCGAAGAGAAGGGTGTAAATGTATTTGAGCAGCTTTGCCCTTAGAAAGCTGGTGTATTTTGGGCGGCCAGCCAAGCAGCTGTTCAGGAGGAAGAGCCCGCCGCCTTTAGAGATTTAATAAGGGATGATAGCAGGAAACAGTCTTTAACACAACAGTCATTTACTGAAATCAATTTAAGATATAAAGGTCCCATCTCTCTCCTGGCTGGATGGGGAATTGTGGGCTTGGTCCAAAGCCCACTGACGTGAACAGAAAGGCTCCTCTGACTTCAGCGGGCTTTGGATGCAGCCATGTGTGTGCAAGTCCCAGCTCCTTGAGAAGACACCCTAGAACAGTGGTCCCCAAACTGTGGGGCACGCCCAGCTACAGAGGTGCGGAGGAATGTTCAGGGGGGGTGCGCAGCGGGGCCCAGGCCAGCCCCCATGGGTGGGGAGGGAGAACCACCTAGCCCTGCTCTGCCCCCAGCCGCAGCCCAGCTCCGCCTCCAGCCACAGCTCCACTCCGCCCCCTGCTCCAGCCCCAGCCTGGCTCCACCCTCATTCCCTCTCTGCCCCCAGGCCAAGCTTCTCAGCTGAGGAAGCCTTGGCTGCACAGTAATTGTGGGGTTGGGGGGGGCCAAATTCCATGACTGGTATGGGCCGGGGGGGGGGGGGAACGGGACGGACAACATGACAGGAAAAGTTTGGGCACCACTACTCCAGTGAAAGATACGAAATCGCAGTGGGATTGGTCAGAGCCAGGTTCAAACACACACAAACGTTCCGATCAGTGAATAACTAGGGGCAGACCAGCTTTTGCACACTGATGAGGGACCAACACACTTAGTTTTAAAGACAATCAACTAGTTTAATGACCAACTCACGTACTAGTCCTTAAACTGAGCTCTTAACAGCTGCTGTACCCTAAAATGATTGATAAGTGCCGATGTTAGACTGAACAGCTGCTGAAGGTGGGGTTCTTGGCCATGTAGTTTATACTGATTGTAGAAAAGTTCTGGGCAGCCTGACCAGGTAATGTGCGCTGTCTCTCTCTCTTGATAATTATATTGCTCCAAGGGCAAGCTGCATAGCACGTGATTCCTTGATCTTCCTAACAAAAGTCAGTTAAAAGTGCTGTACCGGAAAAAACAGAACACTGACAAAAACAGACCACAGAAAACATACTCCAGCACTGAACAGAATTTTTTTTTTTTTTTTAAACAAATTCTACGCTTTCCTTCTCTGATTTGGAGTTTTCAATCACTATCACGAGAATTGCCAGCTTTCCATTCCTTAGTTTGTTCCGTGAGCCCTTTCATTTTCAGCAGAAGCCATTTTGCTCAGGTTTATTTCTTTGACTATTTTCTGAAAGCTAAAATGGCCCATTTACCAATTTAGCGCTACCAGGATCAGTGCCACACTCTGACAATACAAAAACATTGCGGGACCAGAATCCATTTCCGAGCACAGTTAGAAGTGGGTCTTTATAAAAGTGCTTCTCAGATTACTGGGTGGTCACAAGCTTTACAATCATGCTAATGATACGGGATCCTCGCGGGCACGTGCATAAATCCATGCTGGGATTCTTGATCTTATCCTGGAGTAACTGGTCTAGTTCACAGCGGAGTTCTTTCACCAACTCTGCCACCTGAAGCAAACAAGGAAACACCCCCCACAAAGATCATGAAATAGCTTCTCCCCTGTACTCTACATCTGCATGTTCTGTGTGGTGCAGAAGCAGAGCAAGGTTTGAAGCACTCACAATCTTACTCGCTGGTTTCATTACCTGGTGGGAGGCTGCTGCGAATCGAATCCATCCATCATCAAGCGAAATGACAAACTCCCCCCGTTGCAGCTGCACGTGGACCTGCCCTCCTCCAAACAAGACCAGCGGGTACACCGACACCATACTGCAGTCCCGGATGAACACACGGCTGGTTTTGATCTTCTCGTGATACACCAAGTAGGGGCTGTCAAAGTGCCTGGTCTGGAACATTCAATGCCAGAGGGTTGTAGTCAGTTAGGAGTAAGAATGGTGATTACATTAGTGTCACTGAGCGCACGTTTTCAGACAGTTAAGGAATAAATCTGATCCCCATTCCCTTGCAAATTACTGGCTTGCTCGCTGCCCTGTGCGTATAAAACAGCATATACGATTTATTTTTATTATTCAAAACAACCTTAAAGGTTTTAGACACACAAACTTCTCTTATCGAAACATATTTCACACTTAAAACTAGAGGATTTATTAAATTGAGGGATTAACTGCAGTTACTGAATTGAACTGATTATTTCACATCAGCCTGGGAACATTTTCAATATGCCTAAGTAAAAGTGACCAGCACTTCAGTTCTTACTTGCTTAACTCTCTTGAAAAAGATCCAGTCTCCTAAGTTACTCAGGCTGACCTATTGTGCCACACTGACGAAGCTTGGCCCCAAACGTTACATGTTTTTCCTGATTCTTTCTTTACACAGAAAAGCAGCCTTTAACTCTGCGTTTGCGACAGAAGCTCATAGAGTCAGTATATTTATTTTGTTATTTCAATGTTCTAAGAGATAAGTTTAGGCTTTAACATATTTTGTTTTAATTCAGATTTCATTTTAAACAGATGCATTTTAAAAAGAAAAACTTATAATTTAAACAACAAAATAAAAAAAAATCCAATTTAAATAAAAAAATCTGACTATTTTTTCAAAACCATCATTGATTTTTATGCACCCTGGGTGGTGGGAAAGCCCAGTGGCTCTGCTTGTTCTCCCCCCAGGTCTCATTCTACCTAGACAGGTGCCTTTAGTCATTCCTGTAATATCTGTGTCCCTTTTGAGCACCACAGACTCTGACAGCAAGGATGGGGAGGAGCTGCTGGATGCATGGCACGCTCTCCTCCGGGGTTTGCTCGTCAGAATCTGCCTGGGAGTCACTGCCCGCTTCCTCCGCACAGCTGCCCTTCCCGTGAGTGCAAGAGGGCTTTGCTGCAGCTGCTCGCAGGGACCACGTGGCATTGATTTGTTTGTATTTCTGAAACGTGCCATTGCAGAGCTCACAATGTCACGTATAACATAATCCTGTCTCCTCCGCCTGTCTCCTGTGCTCTCTTTCTTTTGCCCTTCATCAGAATCTCACACAAATGTCTACGCCTCTTCCATACTGCCCCGCTCACAGCATGGCCTCCCTGAACTAATCCTCTAGGACACTACTCTCTTGTCTTTCAAATCTCTCCTCAGGACCCACTTCAGCAACAAGGCCTATAGGAAATCAGCCAATTACTGACAGTGCCTTGAGTTCCCTGCTGCCCATGTAGGATAGCAAGGAGAGTTTGACGTGTAAGAGGTTCATTCTCATGTTAGTTTAGACTTGGGCTGATTCACCAGGATAGATTTATAAACAATTAAGTTTTACAATACTCCAATGGGTTATTATACTTAACAATGTAATATGGATTTTTAGCAGCTAATTTGTATCCTCAAAAAGGAGGATCAGCGTTACCATGTATCACTTTCATAAAAAAAACCCCAAAAACAAGCACCTGTTCAATGGTAAGTTTCCCTCGTGATCTTTATTAATGGGATACCATCAAATTCAAAGAAAATTATTGCATTTGATCTCATAGGAAGAAGTGATACTGTGCATTTCAACAGTGAATTATTTACAAATAAAGTATTTCAGTGGTAGAAATATGAGCCCTCCTGTCAGTCAGTTTTCCCCTGTAAAGATGCTACATGCATAAACACTTGCCATCTCCTGCACAATTCCTGAGATTGCATGGACAGGACAATTACGGTGATCCCTACAGGCACAATCCCCTGCCATTGCGGTAACTCCGCATGAACGTGCGTTCTTGCAATTCTGAAAATCAGGGCCATGAAATTGCTGGATCTTACAAACTTAACTTCCAAATTTGAGTCTCTGTCATCTATTGTAATGGAGGCTCTTACCTGTGATCTGTGCCGCTCTTTGAAACCCATCACCGAGAGGATTTCAAGCACACCGTTGCTGTGTGTTTGAGGCTGCTCAGTGCTCTAGTTCATAATCCAAGCAGCACGTAGCTGAAGTAATGTCTTTTTTAAAAACGTAGAGAATGTATGTTACTGAGTTGGAAAAAAATCCTTACTTGATAATTCACTGAGGAAGGATGAATGTGAACATAACCGTCATTTTTTGTAACAAACTTCAACTCCTCTGCCTTTGGGTGTAATTTAACTGCTCCTGCACTGGTATACTGGTATTTCCCCTCTGGGGTTTTCACCTAAATGTGAAGATAATAAACAGTAATAAAATAACTCTCTTACACCTCCTGCCCCAAGTAAACCGTCTTTCCCCACATCTATTACTATGTCAACAACAACAGGAAGTATTACCCTAGACATCAAGAAAGGTACTGTGTTGCATTCCAGCTTGCATCTAACCCAGTATTTTCAGTTGCTCATAACTCTCAAACAAATTCCTTTTAGGATATGTTTTTGCTTGGTCTCGGCCCAGAGGTGACTTTGGAAGTATCCAGACCCCATTACCAGAGTTCTGTCAGCACTCTGCAAAACTAGTCGATACAGTTTGGGGGGTTGGTTTTATAATGCTCCGGCTTTCACCCCAGAATTCATTTCCTGCTGCTCATGTTCAGACTGTGGCCTGTGGTGGTTACAGATGCATGCTCCTGGCATCTTAAGATCACACTAAAAATAAAAGTCTGTTGGAATGACAGCAGTAGCCAGCTACATGAGTTTGTAAATGGGAGTTCAGTTGCCAAGGCCTAAAGCAATAGGGGCAGCATGCTCTGTGGAGATACCGTACCCTTAAACAAGAGGCAGTCTGCCAGAGTAACCCCGAATCAAAGCATTCAGTACAGATCTGCCACTCAAAAGGGAGTGGGATGCAAACGAAGATGGAAAAGGAAAAAAGCACCCTCTTACCTGGACAACATTGGGATACAGAGCAGCACATAATATTGCTGATATCAACTTGATGTTCTCTGCATTAGAGTTTGCCTGTGAAATAAATACATACAATAAGTACTACAATTCCAGGTTACTACCTACAGGCCTTGTCCCAGTGACCCTTCAGTGAAAACCAGGGATTTCTTGATTCACTGTAGAACATGACTTCATATTAAAACTAAATTACTGACACTGTTGGTACTCTCTTTTTGAGCCAACTATGTAACTTCATATTAGGAGCAGTTCCTGGATTCTGCACTCTCAGGTTATGTCTTGCCTACATTCTTTTTAACCTTTAATTAAACTAATTGCCAATTAATTTGCAATAGTTAATATGTTTGTCAAAGCTAATCTGGACACTCCCCAAACATTTATTCCATGCTACTATGTAGTTGATCCCTAGGATAAATCACAAACCTCGCCAGGTCTGCATGATGGTGTAGTCTCGCCATTGTGCGCTTGTTGTCCCGCTCCAGAACTACCAGTTGGCATAAGGAGATTCTTCAGCTATTAAAACCTACATCAGCTGTCTCGACTGCTCCGTGCGGCCTGCGTGATCTCCTTAGCAAAGCACACTACTGCTTTCATAGGGCTGAAATGCCCTCAACCACGTCTAATACCCAATATCTATCTCCTGTTCCCAAAACGAGAGTTGCACTAATTGCAACATTTGGTATCACTGCACAGATAATATGGCCATGAGTGTGGTATAGGAACATATCTAGAATAGGTCATCGTTCCAGGTTGGATCCATGCCTTCACACTGTTTGGAATGTAGGCCACAGACAGCAATCTAGTGTGCACCAACCTGGAAGTGGGTTACTTTACTGACTTGGTGGGCTAAGATCACATCTGCACATGTGCCCAGGAAGAACAGATAAGTTATCGTACAATACATTGTGAAAGAATTCACAAGACAGCTCTGATTAGAGCATGGATATGAACCATGAGCTGCTAAGAACCATGGGATATGCCCCCAGAAAGCCCAGCACCTCACCTGACTGAGTGCAGCACCAGTGTGGATCCAGCAACTTGAGTGTGATTGCTCTCACCTCTCACTTGGGCCAGGCCAGTTTGAGTGGTCACACCGGTGTGCCGGTTGCTCGAGTGAACTGTACAGTGTGGACAAGGCCTTAACTACTCCAGTGTGTTAATTACTTCAATTGACAATTAACTAGAGGTTAAAAAAAAAGTCTGATGGTGCATACCAGACATTCAGTTTCCTTGGATCTATTTCTCTCCCTAGATTCACTCATAGCGCCTTCCACCCTACAGAGTTGGTCAGGAGAGCGCAGCCATCCTTTCCAACATGGACCTCGCAACAGTCATCTACACCTCTGTCCCGTTGCGATTACAGCTCTCATTAGGGCTATACTGGAAACCTACTGGAAAGCAGCACTAGGAGGGTGCAGAAAAGTGACTCACCTCCAAATGCACTGTCTGTGCAGATCCATGCTGTGGGAATTGCATGTCCTGCCACAGGGCCATTGCAGAGTGGTTATTCATTAGACAGTGAGCATGCACCTCAGATTTGTTGCTGTAGAACCAAGAGTATAAACGCCCTCAGTGGCTAACTCCCTCAGTCTCTGACCCCAGACCTATGTTATAATACATGTCTCCAAAGTAGAAGGGAGGAGGGATGGTAGATTGACAAAGAAGAAAATGGTGATCACTAATCACATTGGATAGCAAGACAAGCCTGCCCCAGCAAGCACACCAAATCAGTGAACGTTTGCTACAAAGGCTGATTAGAGACTAAAGCAGCAGTTTAAAGCACTAAAGATCCAGTTACCTCTTCTCCAGTAGCATCCAAAACACCATCTCCTCGAGACCACCTCTTCTCCATGTCCCTGGCTCTTAACCCCTCCTTCACAAATCCAATATCAGACAGCAGTTCTGTGAATTGCCTTTTTAGGCTCGCCATTTCCTATAAGTCAACAGAAAGCCTTGAACATAAGAACATAAAAATGGCCATACTGGGTCAAACCAAAGGTCCATCCAGCCCAGTATCCTGTCTGCCAACAGCATGCATGTGAGGTTAATTCACACCAGACTCCCCATTTTAAACACCAATTGCAAGGACTATCCTTCAGCATATCCAACAATCACCTATGATCACTTTGGTTGCTTGCAGTAAGACAACCAGTGGATATGTGAAAGGCATGGATCTGTATGCCCTCTCCATTTGAAGACATTATCCAATCCAACAGAGTAGGAGGAGCTTGCAGTTAAGGTTGACAGGTTTCCAACCCAGCTTTTGCTGCTGTTCAGAACTCTCTCAAGCCAATTCCTTCTGAGCTGAAATATTCCAACATTGGTCTGAGCCTCGGGTTGATTTTTAAATTAAACATGTCTGGTTACACTAGGATTACAGGCTCAGACAGCTGGCTAAAGTTACAGTCAGTAATATTTCCCAGCTCTTAGCTGAACTTGGAAGAAGATCAAAAGGATGGGGCAGGAAGAGGAGGTGAAATAAAGACGGACATGACTGACAACATGATGGCAATTACTGACTTTTTAAAAATTAATCCGGAAAAATACTGAATCAAAACGGACTTACTTGAAGAACTCTTCCTGATAAGAAGTTCTCCCTGCAATAGCTGTAGCTTGCACGAGAACTCTCTTTGGTACTTAAGTGCCAGCCCTAAATAATGGAGAAACCAAACTTTATTGATGATGCCTTAAATTTCAGAACATGTACACACTTTTGATCTGCGTCACTGATTTTTAGCTCACCTTATAAGCCTGGAGAAGAGCCAGGTAATCACTGTTTCCTATTGCAAATTCCAGCTTTTTTTTGTTCGCTTCCTCCCTTTTATCCCATGGAGACACCTAAATAAATAGATTGACACATTTCATCTCTGCTTCTCCCGTCGTTGCTCAAGACAGGTGCTTTATCACTGGTGATGCACGTTGTCTTTCTTACATGACCAGTAAGCTACTGATCAGTTGCAGTCCTCATATCCATGACAAAAAAAGTTTACTAAGCAGTAACTGAAATTCTCTGGGTATATTGCCTATGCAGACTCCTGCTGTCGGAGTTACATGCTGTGACTCACTGGTCCCAGAACCGTCCCAAAGCAACGTATTCATTAGGGGAGGTCTGCATACTAACCACAGATTTGATATTATAAAAAGCTTCACTTCCAGAACAGTCCTAAGCAACTCTGTTTCCCCTACCCTCAGTAATGTAACTGTGAAGAATCGGAAGGAGGGAGGATCAGGCTGCATCTGCAGAAGCAACATACTGGGGAACAACCTTCCTTTCTCTTTCAGAGAACTGCCGCGGCAGACCTCACTGGAGGAGATTAGGAAGCATTAGAAAGGCCTTGTCTACACTAGAGAAAACCCTGAGCCTAGCACCTTCCCACTTCTGACTGGGAATGAATGTCTCACAGCCGTAACACTTGAGGGGAATGCCCCTGCACCAGGCCCTCCATGTGTCAATTGGTGGCTCAGGAAAGAAATAATTAAAAGCAGAGCCCTGCTCTGGATCTGCACAAGGCCAAAACCTATCAAAAACACATCTTTAAACCCCCTAACAATTTCATACAGTTAAAGCTAAAAGGAGAAATGTGCAATGGAGAAGGAAAGAAGAGGGAAGAGAAAGTCTGAAAGCCACCTATCTTCTATGGAAAGAGAATGGCTATTGGATGGGGCATTTCAGAACCATGATTTAACAAAACAGATCTGCAGTGGATGTATGGGCCCCAAACACAGTTACACCACTCTATAATACATTCCAGACTTACAGAACTCCAACCGCAAGGGATTTGCAGAGGCAATTTCATGATTGTATTGTCCACAATAGAGGACTGTTTGTACCATTAACTATAGGTGGCAAAACCATACACTGAGATGGAACACTCAGTCCTGATCTTTGATATGAGGTCGTATATTGCTTTAGACAGAGATCGAACAACTACACCCACTGGACGTACAGAACAGCACCGGATTTTACAAGCTAAGCTGACGTGTGCGCACACAGCCTGAGTTCAGGAATGAACACTATACTCAGAGCTCAGAACTGTCAGCTTCATAACCACCACGAGCAAGACCACGACTGCTTCCAAACACAGGTGGGCGTAGGAGATGTAAAGCAGACACCTATAATTTCACCAGAACTATTCCTTGCACACACATTTATAGATTGCATTTCTGGACTCAGCAAGAATTAAAAATTGAAGCTTTATGTACTAGTGAATATTTATAATCACTTCAGTCTTTGATCAATTTCAAAAAGAAAAGGAGTACTTGTGGCACCTTAGAGACTAACCAATTTATTTGAGCATGAGCTTTCGTGAGCTACAGCTCACTTCATCTGCTACATCTGATGAAGTGAGCTGTAGCTCACGTAAACCATTGGTTAGTCTCTAATCACAGACTAACACGGCTGTTCCTCTGAAACCTGATCAATTTCACACTCTTGAAGAGGACTGCTGTTCTCTTGGTGCTATTTTGGCCTCTTCTTACATTCACAGCATGCCCAATACCACTGTGTCATTTGAAAACAAGGATTAGTTATTTGGCTCAAAAGAATTCCATCCTCCAGTAAAGTATTATGTTCTTTTTATTAGGGATCAAACTGTTCTTGATACTTCTGTCTCTGTGCATGTACTTACGATATGACTATTTCCAGTCCAGACACAAACATTTTATACGAACACAAAGATGCGCTGTGCCGTAAGTGGGACTGGTAAGAAATTTAAGAGTAGCATGTTGCAGTACACTACACTGTTCACTGATGAATATAACACAGAGCTTTCAGATCTTGGCGCGCAGGCGGAGTTGAGGGCGGCATACTTACAAAAGGGGACTTGAAGGCCAGACTTGCTGCTATAGTTAGGGCAGGATCCAGGCAACGGAAAATGGTGCCGAACAGCATTAGTTTTCCAATCCGCACATCTACAGGCAAGGAGGCCAAGTGATACCCCAAGGGGGTGAGTTTTTCATCTGGAGTTAAAGCGCCCAAGTCCTGCAGTCGCAGTTTCGATGCACGCAGAGATTCAATTCTTGGCGGCTCAATCAGGCGGGATAAGACAGATTGAAGGCCGTGTGCAGAAAACATATCCAAAATCTTAATTCTTAAGGAAAAAGATGACAACTCAGTCTGCTGACATAGGACAAAGCAGCAAACTTCTTCCAAATCACTGAGAGTGCCCTTCCCATGGCCTGCTTTCTAGATAGGCCATGCCAATGGGAGCACAGCCAACTAGTCCTCCAGGGTCTACACTGGCTCCCTGCTGACTTTCTGATCCACTTCAAGATGCTGATCCTTATCTTTAAAGCCTTTAACAGGCACAGGCTACACAATCCCAGACGGCCTCTTCTCCACCCTTTGCCACTGCAGCTGCAGGGGCAGTGAGCTAACCAATAACTAAGGAATCTGCTACTACTGCAGATCAGGACAAGCTCAGATCTGATGACTGTCACAACATGGTGCAAGACCCATCTTTTTATACAGGCCTTCCACACCATAAAGCAAACGAGTTGTCATTCCTCCTGGCCAAGAGCCAATAAGGCATAATTCAACTTGGGAAGTGGTCCAAAACGATTAGGGATGAGTTTTGATCCCACAGACTTGATTCAAAGCCCATTCAAGTCAATGCAAAGACTCCCATTTACATCACTGGGCTTTGGCTTTGCAAACGTACCTTCTAATCCTAAATTACCGGCATGAGCGTCAAAGGCCTCCCTCTTTAATATTTATATTGCAGTAGTGCCTAATTGGGATCGAACGAGGCTGTGTGCAAACACGTAAGACGACACAGTAGTCCCTCTACCTCCAAAAGAATTTGTAATTTAAAAAGACAACAAATATGGGGCTGCAAGAAAGGAATGCAACATACCAGAAAAGTGCTCAGAGGATTACCTTGTTAGCACTGCCTTTGTTTATAGGGACGGGGCCGGGCCAAGGAAATGGTGAGTGGAGGATGGGTTTGAGGCAGTAACATGGTGGGTGGGAAGACCAAAAGTCCTGAAGCAGAGGTAGACTGGTAGTCAGTGAGAGATGAGAGCACTCAACAGCCAATCAACAAAACAAAAGTGAGAAGAGGGGGGCTTGCTGGTTCCTATGATGTCAGGAGCCTGGTGGGGGTGTGATAACTCTGCTGCTCCCACCTGGAGAGAGAGGCTGTCCTGGGGGATGGCCCTTTAAGACCGATTACGTTGATAATGGTTTACCTGAGACAGAACTGTTCCAAAGGCACTCTTTGTATTTCGGGTAACTGCTGCTTTATAAGCTGGTGATTGTAGTGATGGCTACTGAAAAGATGAAAGCAGACTCCAGAGGCTACGCGCCCTGCCCGCCCTTTCCTTTGCAACGCATTAGCTTTGGACACAAATGTGTCTTCCAGACTTTCCATTCCTTTGCTGGGGTCGTATCTACAAGAGGAAACAAGTCAAAATGGATGAGGATGGGAGTTTCACTTCAAGCAAGCGAAGAGCACCAACACCGAAGCTCAAGCTGAGAGGTACTATGAACTTTTGGAGGGCCATAACTACCAACACTATGGATGCACGTCTGTAATGGATGCCATGCATGGAACTCCCACTGAGTCAATGGGAGCTTTGTGCACACAGTAAGTTGCAGAATGAAGCCCTTTCAGATTTTCTCCAGCTCTTTAACAGATGTGAATTCATACTCTAATGTGCTGGACAGTTTTTTTAAACAGATACCATGCAGAACACATCATCTTCCGAGATCACAGTTCCACCAGAATAATCCCAATACCTTTTCTCTTTCATTTTCCCAGAATCAATCACAAAGACCACATCGTCAATGGTGATGGATGTTTCTGCAATGTTCGTAGATATGATGATCTTGGTAACTCCTACAGGAGGCTTCAGGAACACAGACTGCTGGTCTTCACTGGACAGTGAGGAATGGAGTGGATAAACAACACAGCTAGAAGAGAAAGATGAGCGCATGCTTATCTTTGCCAACCTTTCTTCCTCCCAACATCTGCCCATTCATACAACTTTAGCCCAGAGTATTGTAGGTTGTACCTTCCCATTCTCAGAATGGAGCCCATGTGCAGCCCATGTCCCCTGTCCCAACATTGGAATGTCCTGCCACAACTTCAGAATGGGGACTCCAAGGGCCATGGATTGTGGGATAGACATGTTCCTCGCTACGTTTCACTGTTAGCTCTTCTGGTGGATATAATCACCAGGCAGAATGCAGCGCACAGAGTTTACTTGCAAATATCCAGTAACTGGATTTGGCTGCTGACATAGAAGTGAGTCTGGAGCTCGAAGGAGCAAAGAAAATGAGACCCACTCCTTAAGAGTCTAACAGCAAGCTTGGTTTTCTTGATTCTCTCCATAGTTCCATCGGCCCTTAGACTGAACAGATCCAGTCTCTTAAGTGGCACTGTGATAGGGTTCCATACCCCACCTTGCACTGGCCATGGGGAGCAGGCCTTTAAAATATTCTCGGGGGGAAAGGACATTCTCGGTGGGGGACTGGGTTTCAGAGCTGGAGCTGGGTTGAGGTCTCTGCTGAAGGGTCCTGAGAGCAGAGCTCTTCTGAGCAGCTAAGTGGGAGCCCACCGTCTTTCCCCAAAGCCGGTGAGGGATTCTGCCAAGATTTGTGCCTTGTAGGGTTCTGCTGTCTTTCTATCCCCATAAGCCCCTTCCTTATTTACTCACCAGAAAGCTTAAGGAGCCTGGTAGTGATAGGGTCTGCATGCCTAAGGCAACACATGTGTCTATGATTCGCTATCACTGGCCAAGGGCTTAGCTAGGTGCTTTTTGAAAGATTGAAATTAAAACAGTATGTACAACCAGGGCTGCCACCAGATTTACACAAGTCATTCTGTAGGTGTCACTCTATTCCACTGAGAAATTTGGTCACCACAACACATCAGGCTAAGGTCACTCAACCTAACCAGGAGAATTACTTCTTATTTAAATGCAATGTTTAGATCGTGATCTAAATATGCATGGGACAGCTTCCCTCCAAGTATTAGCTTATTTTTCCTAACTCTTGATTTTCTTCCTCATCATTCGCACAAAATTTAGAATGTTTTACCTTAGAAATACCCAATACTTCACAGTGTTAAAAACTCAGATGTTTTTAAGTGCAAAACAGGGTAAAAGATAAAGTTAGACTCTACGTTTTTCAGCCTTCCATTGGATCGCCTTAGCTAGTGCATGAAGACCCACTGCAAACAGCACATAAAGACTATCTAGGTTCTTATCCAACAATTACCGTGGTATCTGACTGCCTCCCAAAATTCTAAAGTTATATTTACCTTGGTCACCAAAACTGCAACTTTCCCTTCCCCAGTTTGAGGAAACGGGACTAGAACTTACATCGCAAATATGCTAAGTGCGTGATGGTTGAGCCACTGTGCTAACTCAAAGGACCTTTCCAAATGGAACAGAAATGGAGATTATGGCATGTAAGCCTTCTCCATCACCAGCTGTCTCAAACAGTAAGTAATCTGCACTTGTAACTGGAGACAGATAGAGTTTGAGTAGAAGGTAATTTTTTTTTAATTGGTTTCTTTACCCTTAATTTAACTTCAACACACTAACCGTTTTGGGACACTAGACTTACCGTTTACTGTGTCTATTATTGAAAAGGGCATTAGACTGTAGCTGTTCATAAAGCATCTTAATTTCTGCAAGACCAGGCAAAAATATCAGTACAGCACCTGTATATATAAGGGGAAAGAAAAGAGTCAATAGAAGAGTTCAGCTAAAATGCACTATTACACTTCGATATTACTGCAGTGCACAAAGGCCCCAGTCAAAACTGGAGCTCCATTTTGCTACGCGCCATATAAACTCACAAGCAGCAATGACCCCGTCCCAAAAAATTTACAATCTAACCAGACAAGACAGATAAAGACGTCAGCATACTGTCAAAGGTACATCTCTTTGTTATAGCTTTTGAGCTGGCCCAGTGTACCCATCTGCCCATCCCCATAGAAATTAGGGGCCTCCCCACTCCGATAGACTCAATGTCCTCGGATAAAATTGGAAGTTATGGAAATTATGTTTTGGATGAAAGCGTCAGCTTGGCACAATCTACACAAGCACATAACTGTTACACGTATTCCCTGTTATACAACCCACAATGGACAGTCAGGTTACCTGGTGGGTATGAGTGTTTCCCACTGACTATCCACTCCAGCAGGGACTCTATTAATTCCAGATTAACTTTGTCTAAGTCCATGGCAGCCATCGTTTTTAGCACTGATTTACTAATCCCTGAAAGAGAAATCGGTGAGTTGGTGTCTCATAAAAGAGCATACACTACACAGTTAACTGAGAAAATGGCCACACAGAGGATCAGCAACCTTTCACCAAGCAGGATCCTGCATCCCTGTAGATATGGCTGAAGGGTACAGTAAGTGTAATACCTCTGAGTGCAGTCTGCCCCGCCCTCCCCCATTCAGTCTCTCTCTTCATTCATTCCTCCCCTTGACTCCTCCTTATTAACTCTACCACTCCTCCCGCTCTCCTCTCCCTCACCCCCTATTGGGTCTCATATACTCCCAATGCACCACACTTCCTGTGTGCCACATCCCATGAATAAACACATTGGTGCCAGCCCAGCACTGCTCACTCCCACTGGTACCAGGCAGGAGTTGGGAATGCCATGGGGGCAGCCCAGGACTGACACCAGAGGTCTCCTGGACCCCGCACACAAACTCTGTCCTGCCTCCTCCCAGTATTTCATTTCTTAAATACAACAGACCCCAAAAGCCCCTTACTCTTTTGGGCTACTACAATCTGCCCCACCCCCACCAGAAGATGCAACCCCAGAGCTGTACATGAAGGATTACAATGAAAAGAAGGAGGAGTGGATAACACAGTGCAGCCTTATTGGGTCACTATTTTGCAAGTCAATATACACCCCAGTGGAGTCCATCTATCGAACCTAAATCTCCCTTGCTGCAGATGAAGACAATTACCTCTTATCCTGCCGTCAGTGGACATGGAGAACAGTTGATCACCGTCGTCTTTAACAACAGCCCTTCATATATTTGAATATTTTTATAGAGTCGCCCACAAGCCTTCTTCTCTCAAGACTAAACATGCCCCGTTTTTTTTTTTTTTAAACCTTTCTTCATAGGTCAGGTTTTCTGAACCATGAAGCCTCAAATTATGAAAATGCGTGTAGTACACTTTACAACACATTCAAGAGTACCAGCTGGGTGTGTAAATATGCTTTTAGGGATGAGAGAGAGACCGAGATTACCTTTGTATCGTATCAGGAGTTGTTTAAAAGTTAATTGCTGGTCTGGGACTGAATCCTTGACAGTAGTGTCATCCTCTAGGAGGTGAGAACATCTTAGATCTTCCTCTACTTCTTCTAATGCAGTTCTCTTGCGTCTTGCTTTAAGTTTTTCTTCTGGACCTCGCTTCGTGTTGTTCATGTACGGACTACCATCCTCTAAGACATACCTGAACATGACCAGAGAGAATTCAGTCATAGGGAAAGCTGTTTGTACAGCCTACCCTTTAAATTAAGCTTTCAAGGTATTATGCCTTGCCCATTACCATGGTACCTGCATGCCTTACAAATTTGTATAAAGAATATGAGTGGCTAATCATAGCCCTGACTTCTCTTTTCTGTCACTCCTACTAGGAGCAGGTAGGAGTGCTGGGAATGTTACATCACTCTTAGCATAAGTAGTTAGCACATATTGTAAAGCTTGAATGGTTCTTTAGAATATGTACTAACTACTTATGCTAAACAATCTGTTCCACCTTGCATGAAGCTGTGATGTTTGGGATACCTTTCCCAGGCCTGGAGAAGAGCTCTGTGGGGCATGAAAACGCTCTCACCAAGAGAAGTTGGCCCAATAAAAGATACTGTCTCACCCACCCAGTCTCTCTAATATCCTGGGACCGACACAGCAACAACTATGTTGCATACAACAATGGAACTATTCCAAAGGGCAGTTACTTGTGAGAATGCGGTCAATGATTTCATACCTTGTGACTGCAATTACATCTTCCAGAAAAAACTGATCCACAGGGAATGTCCGACCTAAAGAAAAAAATTAGAATGTTAAAGCAAAATGCGAGCTACAATTTCAGGAGTGGAGGTCAGGGGAGGGCTAGCGTTTACAATTTCTCACACTGTGTTTCACCACTTCACCCCTTGTCCCACCTTCGTGAACTTGACAGCACTATGGAGATTCTTTTAGAACTATACTGCAATTGGGAACACAACTCAGTCCAGAACAAATGGCTGACGTTTTTCAAGAACATTGCTGGCATTCACTCAGTTTACACAAAGAGGATTCCTGTAGCAAGGTAATTTGGTGCAGTTTTAGAATTATAGGAAGCAATGTATTTCCATCTAGTTAGGTATTTATATCACGCTCAGTGTGATATCTGAGCATTGTATAAATATGCATACATCCAAATGGGGGCCTACACGTACACCTGGATACTCGATCCTCTCCCCATTTACCAGAACAGAAGGGATTGTTTTTTCCTGTTTTGCGGAAGCTATGTCAAAGAGCTGGGTCTTGCAGATAAAGTTTCTTGCCATTCTTGGCTCTTGTAGGAGTTCCAGAGCTGTAGGCCAACTGTCAAGAAGGCTGTCTCCAGGTCTCCTTGTCATAGAAAATTCCATCATTTGGAGGACTGCAGCAAGGTCAGGCTGTCTCTGAAATTTCTGAGGATCATGACCAGCACCTTTAACTCGATCGGATATTTGATGGATAGCCAATGACCTGTGTTAGTCAGCAGGTGGGTTGCTGCGTGTTGCACCAGCTGGAGTTTTAGTAGTTATGGTTTCATTCTCATGTATAAATATGTCGCAATACTGAAGGTCACATCTGTGACTGAGTCCGCATCTGGCAGAATGGGACAATATCTCCTGGCCAGCCAAAGGGGATAAAAGGCATTTTGTGCTGCTATTGCTAACTGACTATCCAGTCTCAATGGGGAGCCCAAGAGGACAACTGGACGTAAATCATGGACAATTGGGCAGACACGCACTACTGAGAGTGGCAATGTGGCATAACGTAACTCTTCGAAACGTGTCCAATACTATCACCTCTGCTTTATCTGGGTTTAGCTACAAACACCTGCTCTTCATCCAGGCCCTGTGCTTATGGGGGAATATCATTTGCTAAAGGAGCAAGTCACCTTCAAAAAAGGCTCCAACTAAAAAGATGAATTGCTTGTTTACCAAATTCAGTTTAAAAAAAAAATTGCAGCAAAGCATTTTAATCGTTACTATTCTCTATATTTTAAATGAATTTAGTGAACGCTGCAACTAAATCCCCATCTTCGTATTTGATCTACTGAGAACGCAGGGGCTGAGGGTATGGGTGTGTATGCAGCATACTGTTCCTAAGAAAGGAAGGTACTCTTGGTGTTGCGCTAAGCAGCAATGCCTGCTGTCCATAAAGCAGCAGGGTTAATAGGACTTTGGCGGAAATGAGATCTAACCAAGAAAGAGGGACATTTTTAGAGACAAAATAAGGCTTCTTGAATGCACATAGGTACGACAGCAGCCTAGGACCAGTGTTATATGTCCTGAATTCCTCTTGCCTGCAAGAGCTCTACTGCGGCTTCTGGAAGAGAGCCAAATGGAAATTCCCTGGTGTGGGCAATGTGTGCCTCATGCTAGAGATGCATGGCTAAAAGATAGAAAATGAACAAAAAATAGCACTGAGCTCATGTCAATAGAAGACAATGACATTTCTCAAACATCATAAAATATATTGATGTTACATATTTGTAAGTGGGTCTTATGCCAAACTATATGTAATGGTACATTATTTGATGGACAGATTCTTGTAGGCAAACAGACTTGCAGTTTTATAAAGTAAAAATAAACAAATGGTACATTTATTCTTTAGGTTCATGCCTAGGCTGCCCTTTATAGCCTGCGGTATGATCACTGCCAGGGGCTGGGAAATCCTCAGCCTGACACCCTTACCCCTAAACCAGACATTGTTTGCAACCTCTATCCCTAAGCTAAACAGTGCTATTATTCATAAGTAACATTGTAACATACACTAACAGAGAAACACGCCCCACTCCATTGTAAAATTTCTCAAATAAGCTGAAACCAAGCCAGTAAAATAACTTGTAATGTATAATAAAAAAATAACCGTTCTTCACCTGGTATGTTAATAACTGGACAGGAGTTAAAGTACTGAGAGAAAAGCTCTGCATTCAAGGTGGCACTCATTAGTATAATACGCAGGTCTGGCCTCTGAAACATAATATCCTTCAAAACCAGCAGCAAGAAGTCACTGAAGAAAACAAGCAAAAGACATCTGAATTTCTTCAGTGTTAATTTCCAAATCTCTTCTCTCTCTAGTCTGCTCCCTTTCCTGGGGTCTCCACCAGCATGGCAATACCACCATGTCAAGCTGTACTCACAATAGTGCCTCTCTGGTAATGGCCTTTAGCTAGGAATTTGGTAATTTACTGTAAGTGACCTTGGGTTACAATTACCTACTTTTTTGCTGTCCCTTTCCAGAGTGTCTGGATTCCTTGGTATATTTACTTAGATTTAAGCAATACAAGCTCTTGGTGCCCTAACAGCTAATTAAGCTGATAACAACATAGTAACCGCCACCCAACAATATTAAATAACCCACACACATAAATTAACTCAGCCAGCCAGTAAATCAAAGCAGCAGACAACCCTTTTCTGCCCCTCTCCCCATAGAAGCATTCCCACCATCTTCACCAAAAAACATGTCAAGTACATAGCTTTTGCAGGAGGCCTAGGTGGTCATCAAGTGCAGCTGGTTTGTGAACTGGGGGAAAGCGAGGTGGAGGGGAGGGGTATCCAGTCCTGTGGACCCTCCCAAGGAACGCTCTTGCCAGCAGCCCCCTCTCTTTTATAATGAAGAGGCTCGAGCATCTCCAATGACTACAGCAGTGTCAGTATATTGTAGGGAGAGCGGTGGTTGCAGGCAGGCAGGATCCAGGACGTACAGAGCTTTCCAGGGGATGACCAATGCTTTTAAACTTACCCAGTGACCGTCCACATAGCTGTAGCTGGCCAGGTAGTACTAAAAGCATCTCGCGTGGAGGATCTTAAGGAGTGCCCCCCATCCCTTCTTCTCTGGTTTTAGAGCTACCAACAGGCCTAGCCCCTTACCAGCTGGTAAGAGGGGTGTGTTTGGGAGAGGTTGGATTAGGATAGGGGGAAGAATTAGGAAATTCTGGTCTGGGAAAGCCCAGAAGTGTGGGCGAGCCCCATTTGGGGTGTTCTACTTGGGAGGGGTCTTTAGGACTTCCAGAGGCAGCATGTGGAGAATTAGGGTAGTTGGGGGACAGCAAGCTGAAATAGGGAAGAGATAGTGACCTAAAGAACCCACCTCTGTTGTCCCTCCTGTCCCATCCTAAAACTTTCCTTAAAATGTGACTGAAAGCGTGAGGGTTGACCGATGTGCCTTCTCCTCAAGGAGCTGCCACAGCACAAACAAATCCCTTAGTCTCCAGGGAGAGAAAGACCAGGAGCAGTAACCACACTCTCCCATATGGCCGTGCATGCAGAGTACTGCCAGAAGCCCATCACACTGGCTGGAGGCCCTTTGACTTTCGTAGTTTGTTAGTCAGTCATCTCAGTGCTCACCTTCATGTATTTCCTTTTCAGGTATGGAAAAAGGAACTACTTACCTCTCTTCTGTTCTTTCATGAACTTCATCAACAACAACGTGGGTGATTCCCTGTAAAGTCATGTCTCCTTCTAGTCTTCTCAGCAGCACTCCAGTCGTGCAGTACAACAATCTGGTAGCCAGTGACTGGAACAGTAAGCAAGGACACACAACGTTCAGTAGAATTTTAAAAGTTTAACAGCTTTCCTAATACAAAGTCTAGAGAGAGCAGGTTGCCATATGGCTCGCATGTCCAACCTGAACATTTCTTGCTTCAAGCAGGAGCAAGCAATTTTTCCTCTCACCTTACCCTTAATTCAACTTAAATGCAGTTATCTGGTCCTTATCACGGAGATGTTTTGCAAGAGGACAATGACATATCTATGCTATCTCATCTAAATCTTTCCTGCTTCCGTAGCTGCATGTTAAACACTTGACCATTTGTCTCCATCAGTGAAGGTGAGAGCTATTGTAAGGGAGATGGGACTGGCTCTGGAGGAAGAGGGCTGGCTATCTGTGTTTCTGGTCTCTATTCGATTGACTAATGAAGGATTACAGAATCGTTCATGAGTGATGCATATTTTGCCCTATGGGACAGAATGAAAAGGTGTTGCAATTATGGTCAACAGCAGGGACAGAAAAAAAGAGCAAGGTTAAAATTGCAAGGCTCAAGTTAAGAAGGGATGGACAAAACAAACTAAAAATCAAACCCTTTGCAAAACAGTTGTAAACTGATCTGTTTTGTTTTTCACTCAAAACTTACTTTAGATTTTGTTCAATCAACTTTTTAGCTTCAGATCTTTGACAGTCTTTATTTTAGATTTGACTTTACTTCTGCAATTTGTATTGATGCAAAATTTGTCAAAAGTGGATGACAGGAGAAATCAAATGGCAGATATAGCTTTAAAATACTAAGTCTGCTTTATCCAAGAAAAATGTTAGAAAAGGGGGAATGGATGTCCGACAGAATGTCACTAGTAGGAAGTTAGCTCAAATTCTGCCCACATCACTAAGGACTGAAGTGCTAGGCTTTGATTCCGGCTTAGTGACTAATGAAAGTGATTTCAGTCCAGTTTCCAGAGGACAAGTGTTCAGGTCACAAAACCCACTATCAGTGCTGATTTCATTGTCGGCCACCTCTGCAGGGAGGCTACCCAATGAACATACACTAAGACTATTGCTACCACTGTCTCATCCTAGAAGGCGTGCCTGACAATGTGGCTCGAGGCAAAATGGCAAGGTAGCATGGGGAAGCTCACACTGCTCTGGTCATACTGTATGAATCTTGTGGATAAAGGACTACATCTCTAGGACAGCCAGTCTGCACCTTTTACAGCTAATACACACAGTTTAAAAGAACTAAATGAAAAAACAGGCAAAGCATACAAACCTTTACACTTTCTAAGCGGATCTGGTATCCCACAGTAATCCCAACTCTTTCTGTTCTCTCCTTGGATACGCGTTCAGCTACAGAAATGGCAGAGATCCTGCGAGGCTGGGTGCATACGATATTGGCTACCCTATTTGGAGGACCCCTCAGTGAAGCATCCAAAATAAACTGAGGAATCTGAGTGGTTTTCCCACAGCTGCATGACAAAAAAAATAATTAAAATGTTTAAAAAAATGTCTTGTCAGAATGAGTTAGGAGGTTGGATTCGAATGTGTATTTCCTTGCTTTTATTAGTTTGGGTCACACTTCATGTAAAATTCCTTAATAATTCAAAATTCATCTACGATTGAAGTAATTTAACATCAATGAATTATGTACCCGAGCACCTGATCATTGCAGAACACAGACTGTACAATTAAACTTTAGATATGCCTTCCCATGTATCGTTTGAGACTAGAAGGGTGTGTGTAAATCGCATCCTTACCCAGTCATGCCACTCACAACAAGCACCTGATGCTTAGTCAGCAAATCAAGAATGGTTTCTCTTTCTTCCCACGCAGGGAGATTCTGTCTTTCTTGCAACATGGATTGGAAGTGCCTAGAAGACTGACAAACATAATTAAGAGAAATTGATCTCTTTGGTTACGCGCCTCAAATCCTGCCCTAGATTCACAGATTCAGATGAGAATTATGATCTACTCTGACCTCCTGCATAGCACACGCCATAGAATTTTACCCAGTAATTCCTGCATTAAATCCATATTTTGTGGCTGAGCAGGAGCATACCTTTTAGCAAGTCATCCAATTTTGATTTAAAGACTTCAAGTGATAGAGCATCACCCACTTCCCTTAGTAAGTTGTTCCAAAAGTTAATTACCTGTTAAAAATGTGCACCTTATTTTTAGCCTGAATTTATCTAGCAACAGTTGCTATGTAAGGCAATCTTTCCTTAAGCTGCACGAAGTAAAAGGAGGGTTTAAAAAAGTTTACTCTCTCATAGTAAGTGGAAAGCTTCCTGTGGCGAGCATGGGGGCCCAAATCATCAATTCCTGCAGCATTTAAGATTTCTTTTATAAAAATATTAAGGTCAAAATTTTGCAACTTTCAAAGCTGTGAGCAGAGAGACAAAACTGCATTTGTTTATATTCAGTTTGCATCGGGAAGATTTATCTTTACAAATAAAAGCTAGAAACTTAGGCCAATATTTTCAACCTGGGGGGCCCAAAGTACCCCGTAGGCACTTTTGAAAATTGCACCCTTAAGCTATATTTAAGTTCTTAATCAAACTGGCATGTTTTTCAAATGTGCCAAATACCTCCAGCTTCCATTAACTCCAAATATATAGTGTTTCCTTCCTGTTCTCTCATATGCGCTCTGCCATAGTACATGGTCTTATCTTCTAATGCCGATGATTCATTTTCTATCGGGGAAGTTTACAGATTTGTTAACTTTGCCTAACAGGAATTGTAAGTTGTAAGGATTTCCAAAAGAAAAACTCTCACATGCAGTGTATTGGCCACAGTAGCATTTCTGCAACTGCACGAGTTACAATTCTGGCCAACACCTATTGCTAAAGCAGTAAAATATACTAGAATACTGGTCGCCATATTACCTCGATTTCAAAGAAAATCACCCTCTTCTTTAAATAATGCAAAATTAGAAACAAATCCATGAAAATTCAAGCGCTCTTACTGCCTGCAATGGTGTTACAAATGTCTAAAATGGTCGTTCCCAAATTGTGGTCTGAGGATCACCTGCTGCAGGCAGAACCTTCAGGTGATCCACAGAATGGAGCATTTTGAGAGGCAAGCAGTGTAGGCCTGGGATAATAGGAAGGAGAGGATCACGAGGAGAGCTCTACTGTAAGTATACGGAATTAAAGAGCTGGAGAACCACTGGCCTAACAAAAACGTGATCTACACAGCATCTGATAATAGATAAGTTATGGCTTCCTAAACAGTTCAGGTCATAAGGAGCCACTGTCATTCAGACAGCTGGGAAGAATCAATTTAAGCAGATTTTCCTTTTCTGAAAGACAAGGACAGAACTGTTGCAAAACAAAGCTTCTACACTCCGAAGTCCCATTATGAAGTCCTGTGGAGCAGTATAACTCAACAAGTCACCCCTTATTAAAATTCAAAAGGAAATGATTATACTTCAGTATAATATACTGAAGTATATTATATATATATATAATATATTATACTTCAGTATACTTCTCAAGCTATTTAAGATTCTGAGCTCTCTAAGGCATGGACCAGCTCTTCATACCATTTAAGTCTGCATAGCACAACGCAGCCTAAACCAGTTGGGGCCACTGGACTCTATTCTACTACAAATGTTAACTAATAACAGTGTAAAATTCCAGTGTAATTAACTGTGCACACACAGTACAGCAGGAAATGTTATTCTTGTTTATGCTCTCAAGTATAAGGACTGATTCCTTATAAACCTAGCTGTAGAACTGCGTCTGCAGTTATCCAACAAAGAAGTCTAATCTGTTTTCTAACAATATAGTAGAACCTCAGAGTTATGAACACCAGAGTTACGCACTGACCAGTCAGTCAATCACCACACACCTCATTTGGAACCGGAAGTACACAATCAGGCAGCAGTATAGAAAGAAAAATAAAAAAAGATGCAAATACAGTACAGTACTGTGTTAAACGTAAACTATTCAAAAAATTAAGGGAAAGCAGCATTTTTCTTCTGCATAGTAAAGTTTCAAAGTCAATGTTCAGTTGTAAACTTTTGAAAGAACACCCATAACGTTTTGTTCAGATTTACAAACAACCTCCAATCCCGAGGTGTTCAGAATTCTGAGGTTCTACTGTAGATGAAAGTGTTCTAAACAATCTGTTATTTTATCTCCTAGCAAAATAACTAATTTTGCACTTAGCTGAATAGCTTGAGAGGCAGTTTGTCATTTAAAATAAATATCACAAAGTCAGAATACAAATGGATTTTTTTTTTTTTTTGCACTGTACCTGCTTTATTCGGAATTGCTTGCAGATTTTAACATTTTCATTATACACAGACTTTGCCTGCATGTCATACTTTCTGGAAAGCTTCTTCTTGAGGTTCACATAACTCTCATTCTCCACAATAACAGTTTCAGGCTCCTCTTCCTCCTCATCGTCATCATTCTCAGGTTCAGACTCTTCTGTGACTTGAGACAGAAAAAAGCATCTTAACATTCAACTCTCTGCAGAGATTGAGACGCACACTGGTTTGAGGCCTGGGACTTCCTATATTCAGTCCTGGACCACTGTCCAAAAAAAGCAGTACTACACCAAGTGACCAGTTGGCCCTAAGTTTTAAGATCCAACATTACCAGAGCTAGAAGCAAATGTTTTATAACATAAAAAAACTGATTTGAAAACCAGACTAAGATTCAGTTTCCGAAACCCAGCCACATCTACATCTGAGCTGTTGAAAAGAGTAACCTTGTTTTTAGATGTTTTTAAAATGTAATGGGAAGGTCACATTGCCACTGTCCATGCGCTCAAAAAGAATGGTGTAGGAGTTTTTTTCCCACGAAAGTTCACCGTAGAGAAGAGACCAGCTCTGGAACATTCCATCTCAACAACTGAGTTTTGGAAAGTTATGAGTAGTTCCAGACAGGGGACTGGAATAGAGTCTTTATTTGTAGGTAAGGCCCTGTGCACATCGCAATTTCACAGACTGTGCAGAAATCAACACTGCAATTTTTCCAACAGCAGGGACGCAGAAAGGTGCATCCGCACAAGCTGGTCTTGTGCTCAGGGCAGCTTGCTGCATGCAGCAGCAGCAGAACGGGGGCGGGGGTGAGGACGGACAGCAGGCTGGATGGGGACTTGGTTTTATCCGGTTTTATGCAAGGCACAGCAGCCAGCGCTGCCGCCACGTGGAACACACAGCCACACTGAGCACAAGACCAGTGCATGAAGATGCCCGTTTCCACTTATCTGCTGCCTGAAAAAAAATGGATGCAGTTTGTGGAGGGGAGGAGAGAGGAACAGATTCAGTGGCCTGTTTTATGTGAGGCACAGCACCCAGCGCTGCCACTGCTTGGCACGTGAATCACCATTGCCTCGGGAGGAGGACACGGGGAGGCAGAAGCGGCCATCCGTGCCCGCCAGCCTTGTGCTCGGTGCGGCTTGTAGCACACACTCCAAGCAGCAGCACTGCTGGCTAGTGTGCCTAGCAGACAACAGGCTGCTCCGCTCGCCCCCAGAGTGCTGCTCCACTATGCGCCTGAGACCAGGGCTTCTGCCTCCCTGCTGCTGGAAGAGTCCAGGCAGTTTGAGAGGGACTCAGCAGCCACGCGTATTCTGTGGAAAAAAAGCGACACTTTCCCGTGACACTGCCGTGAATCTTCAAAAGATTATCCAGGATGTCCATGAGGCCTTACGTATACAGGGCGACTGCCACTCCTGTGACCAATAATGTGGTCCGACGACTCTCTCTGCTTATAGTTACTGCCTGTGTAATCCATCCAGCAGTATGGAGCAATTTTACAAATGAGAGATATCATTAGGAATGTTATAAAACTGGGTGAAACACCTGCTCAGCCTTAACTCCAGCTTTATGAAGTCTTTCTATTTTTTGCCTAGGAATTTTTAAAGTTTTTAAATGTTTCAAAATCGGTCAGTAACAGAAGCACTGGGACAAGCAGTCTGACCTTCACTCCCAACCTTGGCTTTAGCCTCTAGACCGTACTCCCACCATCAAAAGAAAAGCTTTTGACACTGTCCTTACCTTCTGACATGCAATTTGAAACAGGTGAACTATCTGGAAACGCTTGTTTATGACAGTCTGTACGGGTTCTTGTTGAGGGCATGTCCAGCAGGGACATAGGAGGGACACTATACTTGTGGTAAGTATTAGTAAGTAACTCAGTTATTTCCGATTCATCCTCTAAACAGGTTATTAAAGAATACACAACTGGTTCATTAGCCTCTGCAGACATCAAGGCCTTTCCATAGAGGAATTCAGCAATGTGTAAACGATAAGCCAGAGGTAGATTCTCATTGGTGGAATAAAATGCCACAATGGGTGCCTGATATGGGTATTTGTTATCCTCAGGAAATCTGATTTCAAGTTCGTACAAAGGAGAGGTATCGCCATTAGATCTGAGGTGAGCGTCATCCACAGAATTCTGTAATGTTCTTGGCAGGTGCTTTGGAGGAGTCTCATGTTGGAATTTGCATCTTGAGCCAAACTTGCAGCCCCCTTGAAGGTAAAATTTACAGACTTTATTTAAAGTCTGTTTTTCCACATCTTTGGCAGCACTATCCCTTTGTTTGGATTTGCTGACTTTATTTGTTAGGTGCTCCAGTTCCAATCCAAATATCCAAACTCTGTTTTTAATTCTTTCTACAAAGTTTTCTCCATAGATTGAATGGAGAGCAAAAGCCTCTTCTTGCCTTTGTTCCAAGCATTCTTCTATACTGGCCTGAACAGCTGCTTCTGAGATTTGCATCCTCTCTCCGTATTTTTCTGAAAAGCACTGCAACAGCAAGTGTTCCAAGGATGCCCCAATGTTACCATTGCAGGATCTTAGAATTGTCCGACAGCGCTCATTATCAAAGCCATACCTACAGCAGAATGGAGGAAAAAATTGCAAAAGGCAATGACAAAAAAGCAGTGAAATATGAAGTAACTGCAGAGCTATTCAATTAAACTAATTTAATATAAGCTTATACAGAATAAGACATCATTACTATTTTGTTTGAAATATTTTGAGAGAATTTTAGTGCTCATGGGAGGTGCCAGACTGGCAACTATGAAAACAGAAGTCCACTGTTTAGCCAGTCCATGATGGATTCACCCATTCAGTGAACCTTCCACAATTCAGAAAGTAGCTCATGACAGCTACAGGATTATTAAACCATACAGTGCAAAGTCAACCCTTCAGAAAAAGTTTAGTTACTTAGAGATAGAAAGCTTCCACATACAAAAAAATAGCTGATGACTGCTTACAAGGTACCCTGTGTGAACTATAATGACAAAGGAATTCTACGTTGTATAGAAATATTTGCTCTTTGCCCATTGGAACTGCCAAAATTGAATACAAATACTTTCCATTTCCATTGACTATCCTGAATATTAGATTTTACAGTATCTATTTCTGTTTCTTGGAGAGACAACTGAAACCACCAAACGTAGCTACTGCTGCAAGACTGGAGTGATTTAAGTGTTATTTTAAGCGCATTCACAAAAGGGCTGATTCTGTTAGTCCTCTGCATGCAGAATTTCCACCGAAGTCAACGAGAGTACCAAGCACTGAGGGCTTAAAGTACAGTTTCCAGGAGTGCAAGCGTATTATTTATTGTGAACGGAATCACCTGGAAAGTTTATGCACAGCAAATGAAGACACCTCACTTTCCACCATTTTGTGTTCATCTGGTTCAGAAACCACCCTTGTAGTTACTTCAGAAATCTCTTCGTCTGCTGACCAGCAAGGCACGTCATCAAAATAATCAGGTTCATCATCACCATCTGATGCAGCCATTCTGATAAAGAGAGATCAAATCAATAATAGCATTATACATTTTAATTAGGGGTGTGTGTGTGTGTGATTCAAAATTATGGTGTTTCAAATAAAGGGAAAATTTAATAACATGCTGCTTTTATTTAGAATAGCTTGTCTGCTAAAATGTTATACATTACACATAACTGAGTTATGGCCACCACTAATTGGCAGAATGCAATTTCAAGAGCAAAAATATTGTACACAGCAAACATTTGAAATGATGATTTTTTAAAATAATTCTTGTCCACAACTTAGGAATCCTGGCTACATTTCCTAGAGAAGTCAAGAATTTCTATGGATCTGTTACAGGAGTGCAAAGAAATCAAAAACCTTCAAGAATGACCATCAGCAAAACAGGGAAGATCAAATTTGATACTCCTGATCATTCTGAAGTTAATAAAAAATAAGGACTTCTTTATACTTCATAAAGCACAACAACAACAAAAAAGAAAAAGGAACAAAGCCATTTTCTGCTTTTCAAGTCAACTCTAAAGAAAAAAGGAACAAGCAATTACTTTTGGAAGTGGTGGTAAATCAGAGTGCTTAAAAGCATTAGAATGGTGCACATTTTCTAACAATTTACATTTGGATAGTTCCTTTCATCTAAAGAAATCCCAAAGCACTTCAGACACCACACAATGCCACCGTGAGGTAATGATCTCTGGTGTGGAACACAGTAGCCATTTCATAGCAACAGTAATATTACACACCAGTTTGCCAAAAGGAAAGAAAGAAATTTTTTTAGGAAACCTATTCCAACATAGCAACTATGGAAATATATAGTACAGATGAGTTGTGGGGTTTTTTGGCTCCCGACTTTAAGGCACATCATTACATATTACAACAGTGCCCAGTGAATGATGGAAAAGGTTAGAGGCTTTCACATGCAAAATATTTCTCCTCTAAGCAAAGGTACACACGTAAAAAAACTGATCTAGCCAGGAATGGTTTTGTTTGTTTAAACTAACTCGGAACCAGCAGTCAGCTCTTGTCCCTGCAGTTCTCGGAGGAGTTCTTTCACCCTTTGCTGATTCTCAGATGTCATATGTATGGTCTGCAGAGGCATCCTCGTTTCAGGTCTCTGTTTGCTTTGCTCTCCTCTTCTGATAACGCAGCTTGTTCTAAAAATTAAAAAAAACACCCACACACAAATTCCACGTTTATTTATGTAACTGAAATTATACAGACTAATCAGATTCCAACATCAAGAATCCAACAGAAGGATTAAAGTGAGGGCTCCTTCAACACACAGGCACAATGGGACACTTGATTCTGTTTATGTGTTGGAGGGTCTTTAACAACAAATACACTTTTTTTGGTCTTATGTCAGATCCTAAGTGTTTTCAAGTCATTTGGCTAGATAAAATCATCAGTGGTTACAATACAGCCAAGCATGTTTAAGTATAGATTGGCTAGAATACATTTTGTGTAAAAAAAATCTGACAATAATGCACGCACACTAAGATTATATGATAAAAAGACTTTCTGGCAGACCAAAAGCTATCATACATTTGCATTAAAACATGCTTTAAACTTGGAAGCGTAAAACTTGAGGAGGAGAAGTTAGCTTTAAAGGACTGGTAATTCAATATGCAAAGCAGAACTCTTTGCCTGTAAGTTTAGATTTTTATTTTAACATGAAAATTCACTTTTTCAACATTTACATTTTAAATGGAAGCTGATTATAAGGCCTGTCCACTCTTCTTTCTAGAATTTGTACCATCTATTGTTATTTGCCAGTAAGAAGACTGCTCCAGACTAGCGTTATATAGTTGCTGTGGTGAAAATAAGTTGTACCAGAGAGAAAGAGTGCCACTAAGCCACTGCCAAAAGCAGCAGGAAGAGTGTGTGTAAATCCCAGGGAACTGAGCACAGAGTTTGGAGCCAGAGATCCTGAATCCTATTGTGCTTTTCCAACTCCTCCCTCAATTAGCCTTAAGACTTTAAAATTTACAAACATTTGCTGAGACATCCCACTACTCTATGCTGAGATTTATTTGATGGCTCACTAATTTCTGTAAACCTCACTTACCCCCATGTGTGAAATCAGGTTAACTTGCTCCGCCCTCACCTGAAGGTCAGACCAGAACTAGCGTCTGGGACTTGAAAGCTAGCAATTACAGGCAAAGTTCAGCACCAATCTGGTCATTTTAAAAGCTCCATTTAGGCACTATAATTTCACTGTGCATAACAACTACTCAGGGGTTTCCACCTTACTCTCTTCTGAAACATTATCTTCAGTGGTTAACTGCAGTGAAAACTACACCAACAATTACTCAGGTAACAATGGTCTAAAAAATGCAGCAAGAACTATCCAAACCTGCTTAACTGTGGCAAAATCCCTTGTTTAATTGCAAGGGATACAGGCCCTGATTTACAGGTTAAGGGAGGCTTTTACATTGGCACTAACTTGAAAGAGAATAAATACACACACAAGAAGTATTTGAAGAGCATTTGTCTGTATTTCTTTTTAAGTTATTCTATGTGTATGTGCTTTAATCTAAGCTGTTTACCCAGGTTTCTTATTATGTAAAATAAGTTAACTGGAAACTTTCCCAAGTATAAGAATGCCTATTCTCTTTACATTTCCAAACATTCAAAGGTTTTCAAAAAGTGGATTTGAAGTGTCCCACAAATCTTAGTCACACAGAAAATGAATAATAATGACCTGGATGCAACTGGCAGTTCCTCAAAGCAGCAAAAGTCATCCCCATCATCCCAAGTTTTGCTTGACCCTTTCTTATTTCCACCAGCATGAGATTTGTTACATTGTCCTCTGCCTCTTCCTCCTCCTCCTCCTCCGCTTCTGCCTCGTCCTCTTCCTCCGCCTCTATTCGGCCTTCCTCTTCTCTTCCCCGCTGAACTCATTTTCTCCTACTAAGGGAAAAAAAAAAGGTTAAACAAATATTCTTATAATTATGCAATACAGTCCATGTTTCTTGGTGCACATCATACTCTTATTTATATGGTACAATAAAGGGTATTGTTAACAAATGGTCTGTTAGAAACTATGCCTTGTCTAATTCATAGGTCTAAGCACCAAGCATACTCTTCTACAACAGTTGTTGTAAAATACAGCTATGGCCTGATGGAAACTTAGAATTCACATCCATTCAGCCAGAGTCCATCGGTGCCGACCCTTAAGCATTCATGAGTGCAAGCTGGGGTTTGCACCAACTGAGCTCACCAGGAATTACCCCTGCTTGAAATACACAGACCCAATGGATCTGCATTCATCTTAGAGGGATCAGTGAGAGGCCACAGTGTTCTGCGAGGAGTCTCCTGCCTCCTTGGAAGCTTTGGCCCCACTTTTTCGTACTGCAATTCTAATGGGGACACAACGATGGAACTTTCTAAGGCACAGATGACCCAAGGACAACCCTTAAAGGGGATCTCCACTGTGGAGAGGTGTCCAGTCTTTATTACTTTTCCACCCTAAAGTTTGCAGGGCTGGGAAGGATGAGGATGCATGTTCCCCTACCTCAGCTCTTCTTTAGCCTGCTCACTGCCCTAAGTAGATATCCATATTGCTGAGTGCCTTCTGGAATCTGGGAGGATGTTGCCACAGACATGGTTGTGGACCTCTTCTGTATGGGAGGGAAAGATCTGTGGGTAGAGTCCTCTCCTCTGGGAGCATACCTGGACTCTCTAAACTGAGATCTAAAGCAATCTGCATGAGGCACTGTAGTCTAGTGGAGAAGACATGAGTCTAACCATACCACTCAACCTTCAATCCTGCCATTTCATGACACAAGCCATTAAAAACCTATGACAGAAGACCAAAATGTGGAACATCTGTATTTTGTTGCATATCCCAACATAATTAACACCCTATAATAATAGCTGTTCACTGTAACACTGATTTTACAGGATGTTTTCTCATTGCGGAATTCAATAAGCCAGTTTTTAAAAAAGAAAACGGCAAAGACAACTGCCATAATATGCGATCACAAAGACTGTTTACTTGGCAATTATCCAAACCAATGTTATACTTTACCGATGCAGCACATCTGGGGAAGACGCTCTATGTCGACAGGAGAGAGCTCTCCCATCGGCATAATAAAACCACCTCAGCAAACAGCAGAAGCTATGTCGGTGAGAGCAGCTCTTCTGCCGACATAGCGCTATGCACTCGAGCGCTCATGTCAGCGTAACTTATGTTGCTCAGGGGAGTGGTTTGTTTGCACCGAGTGGCATAAGTTTTGCCAACATAAGCTGCAGTGCAGACACAGCCTTACTCTACAACAGAGTCTTATAATGGAAACGAGTCGCTATCTCAGCTAAAGAGAGGCCGTTGCCCCTCCAGAGTGGAGCAGGGAGTGCGTAGGTGGGCAGCATTGCTGCAAGGCCGCGCTAGAGAGGTATGAAGCCTGAGCAGGGCCCCCAGCAGGAGCACTGGGTACAAGCAAAGGTGCACGGTCACTGTTGGGGCTGACATATCAGTGGGTTAAGACACCTTCCAGGGGGCGGGGGGGGGGGAATTCACATCCAGTACAAGACATAAAACCAACTTAATCACTCCCAGTGACAGCACAGCCCCATATGGGACCCCCACCCGCCACCGCGACCCCACCCATAACACCCCCCACCCGCCGCGAGAGCCCCCCCACCCCGCCCCGCGACCCCACCCATAACGCCCCCCACCGCCCCGGGACCCCACCAGCCCCGTACCACGAGCCCACCCATAACGCCCCCCGCGGGACACCCCCAGCCCCGCACCACGACCCCCCCCCGTAACGCCCCCCACCGCCCCGGGACCCCACCAGCCCCGTACCACGAGCCCACCCATAACGCCCCCCGCGGGACACCCCCAGCCCCGCACCACGACCCCCGCCCCACCACCCCACCACCCCACCCATAACGCCCTCCGCACCCCAGCCCCGCACGACCCCCCCATTCCCGTCCGCGGGACTCACCTTAGGGCACCTGCACATAACCCCCCCACGCGGGACAGACCCTCACCCCACAGCACGCCCATGGGATCAGTCCACCCCCCACGTAACACGCGCATGGGGGAGCCCCCCCCCAACAAAAACGCCCGTGGGGGACACGCTGCCCGGCGGGGGACCCCCCGCTACACCCACCTGCCACAACTGACTCCGCAGCCGGCCCAGCGCAGGCACCGCCGACCCGGAAGCGAAATGCCTTCTGCTTCCGGTGCAAGAGTCAATCTGTCCCCATAGCAACCGCAGACACCGCGTCCCAGGCATGGCCGGTGAGAGCCCCCCGCCCCCTGCCACAGCCCGCCCCCCCCGGACCCCCACCACAGCCCGTTCCCCCAGACCTCCCCGCCAGAGCCCGCCCCCCCCGGACCCCCCCACCACAGCCCGTTCCCCCGGAACCTCCCCCGCCAGAGCCCGCCCCCCCCGGACCCCCCCACCACAGCCCGCCCCCCCAACCCCCGCCCCACCACAGCCCGTTCCCCCCGGACCCCCCCGCCACAGCCCGCCCCCCCCGGACCCCCACCACAGCCCGTTCCCCCAAACCTCCCCACCACAGCCCGTTCCCCCAGACCTCCCCGCCAGAGCCCGCCCCCCCCGGACCCCCCCACCACAGCCCGTTCCCCCAGACCTCCCCGCCAGAGCCCGCCCCCCCCCGGACCCCCCACCCCAGCCCGTTCCCCCAGACCTCCCCACCACAGCCCGCCCCCCCCCCGGACCCCCCACCCCAGCCCGTTCCCCCAGACCTCCCCGCCAGAGCCCGCCCCCCCCCCGGACCCCCCACCCCAGCCCGTTCCCCCCAGACCTCCCCGCCACAGCCCGCCCCCCCCGGACCCCCCACCCCAGCCCGTTCCCCCCGGAACCTCCCCACCACAGCCCGCCCCCCCCGGACCCCCCCACCACAGCCCGTTCCCCCCAAACCTCCCCACCACAGCCCGCCCCCCCCGGACCCCCCACCCCAGCCCGTTCCCCCCAGACCTCCCCGCCACAGCCCGCCCCCTCCGGACCCCCCCACCCCAGCCCGTTCCCCCGGAACCCCCCCGCCACAGCCCGCCCCCCCGGACCCCCCCCACCACAGCCCCCCCGCCCCCCGGACCCCCCACCCCAGCCCGTTCCCCCGGAACCTCCCCGCCACAGCCCGCCCCCCCCGGAACCCCCCCACCACAGCCCGTTCCCCCCGGACCCCCGCCAGAGCCCGCCCCCCCCGGACCCCCCCCCCCCAGCCCGTTCCCCCGGAACCTCCCCGCCAGAGCCCGCCCCCCCGGACCCCCCACCACAGCCCGTTCCCCCCAGACCTCCCCGCCAGAGCCCGCCCCCCCCCCCCCGGAACCCCCACCACAGCCCGTTCCCCCCGGACCCCCCCCAGAGCCCGCCCCCCCGGACCCCCCCCCCCAGCCCAGCCCGTTCCCCCCGGACCTCCCCCGCCAGAGCCCGCCCCCCCGGACCCCCCCACCACAGCCCGTTCCCCCGGACCCCCCGCCAGAGCCCGCCCCCCCGGACCCCCCCCCCCACCCTTCCCCCAGACCTCCCCGCCAGAGCCCCCCCCCGGACCCCCCCACCCCAGCCCGTTCCCCCAGACCTCCCCCCAGAGCCCGCCCCCCCCGGACCCCCCACCCCAGCCCGTTCCCCCCAGACCTCCCCGCCAGAGCCCGCCCCCCCCGGACCCCCCACCCCAGCCCGTTCCCCCAGACCTCCCCGCCAGAGCCCGCCCCCCCCCCCCCCGGACCCCCCCACCCCAGCCCGCCCAGAGCCCCCCCACAGCCCCCCCCCCCCCCCGGACCCCCACCACAGCCCGTTCCCCCAGACCTCCCCGCCAGAGCCCGCCCCCCCCCCGGACCCCCCACCACAGCCCGTTCCCCCGGACCCCCCCAGAGCCCCCCCCGGACCCCCCACCACAGCCCGCCCCCCCCACCCCCCACCACAGCCCGCCCCCCCGGACCCCCACCACAGCCCGTCCCCCGGACCCCCCACCACAGCCCGCCCCCCGGACCCCCCACCACAGCCCGTTCCCCCAGACCTCCCCCCCAGAGCCCCCCCCCCCCCCCCCCGCCCCCCCCCCCCCCCACCACAGCCCGTTCCCCCCGGACCCCCCCCCGCCAGAGCCCGCCCCCCCGGACCCCCCACCACACCCGTTCCCCCCCCCCCCCCGCCAGAGCCCGTCCCCCGGACCCCCACCACAGCCCGTTCCCCCAGACCTCCCCGCCAGAGCCCGCCCCCCCGGACCCCCCACCACAGCCCGTTCCCCCAGACCTCCCCGCCAGAGCCCGCCCCCGGACCCCCCACCACAGCCCGAGCCCCCCCCGGACCCCCACCACAGCCCGCCCCCCGGACCCCCGCCAGAGCCCGCCCCCCGGACCCCCACCACAGCCCGTTCCCCCCAGACCCCCCGCCAGAGCCCGCCCCCCCGGACCCCCCCACCACAGCCCGTTCCCCCAGACCCCCCGCCAGAGCCCGCCCCCCCGGACCCCCCACCACCCCCCAGCCCGCCCCCGGACCCCCCACCACAGCCCGTTCCCCCAGACCTCCCCGCCAGAGCCCGCCCCCCCCGGACCCCCCACCACAGCCCGTTCCCCCCAGACCTCCCCGCCAGAGCCCGCCCCCCCGGACCCCCCCACCCCAGCCCGTTCCCCCAGACCTCCCCCGCCAGAGCCCGCCCCCCCGGACCCCCCCACCCCAGCCCGTTCCCCCAGACCTCCCCGCCAGAGCCCGCCCCCCCCGGACCCCCCACCACAGCCCGTTCCCCCAGACCTCCCCCGCCAGAGCCCGCCCCCCCCGGACCCCCACCACAGCCCGTTCCCCCGGACCTCCCCGCCAGAGCCCGCCCCCCCGACCCCCACCCACCCGCCCCCGACCCCCCCCCCCCCCGGACCCCCCACCCCACCCGCCCCCAGACCCCCCCGCCAGAGCCCGCCCCCGGACCCCCCACCACAGCCCGTTCCCCCAGACCTCCCCGCCAGAGCCCGCCCCCCCCGGACCCCCCACCACAGCCCGTTCCCCCAGACCTCCCCGCCAGAGCCCGCCCCCCCGGACCCCCCACCACAGCCCGTTCCCCCCAGACCCCCGCCAGAGCCCGCCCCCCCGGACCCCCCCACCACAGCCCGCCCCCGACCCCCCCGACCCCCACCACAGCCCGCCCCCCGGACCCCCCACCACAGCCCGTTCCCCCCGGACCTCCCCGCCAGAGCCCGCCCCCCCGGACCCCCCCACCACAGCCCGTTCCCCCCGGACCCCCCGCCAGAGCCCGCCCCCCCCGGACCCCCCCACCACAGCCCGTTCCCCCCAGACCTCCCCGCCAGAGCCCGCCCCCCCAGACCCCCCACCACAGCCCGTTCCCCCAGACCTCCCCGCCAGAGCCCGCCCCCCCGGACCCCCCCACCCCAGCCCGTTCCCCCAGACCTCCCCCGCCAGAGCCCGCCCCCCCGGACCCCCCCACCCCAGCCCGTTCCCCCAGACCTCCCCGCCAGAGCCCGCCCCCCCCGGACCCCCCCACCACAGCCCTTTCCCCCAGACCTCCCCGCCAGAGCCCGCCCCCCCGGACCCCCCCACCACAGCCCGTTCCCCCGACCCCCCCCAACCCCCCCCCCACCCCCCAGAGCCCGCCCCCCCGGACCCCCCACCACAGCCCGTTCCCCCAGACCTCCCCGCCAGAGCCCGCCCCCCCGGACCCCCCACCACAGCCCGCCCCCGGACCTCCCCGCCAGAGCCCGCCCCCCGGACCCCCCCCCACAGCCCGTTCCCCCAGACCTCCCCGCCAGAGCCCGCCCCCCGGACCCCCCCACCCCAGCCCGTTCCCCCAGACCTCCCCGCCAGAGCCCGCCCCCCCCCCCCACCCCAGCCCGTTCCCCCCAGACCTCCCCGCCAGAGCCCGCCCCCCCCGGACCCCCCCACCACAGCCCGTTCCCCCAGACCTCCCCGCCAGAGCCCGCCCCCCCGGACCCCCCCACCCCAGCCCGTTCCCCCGGAACCTCCCCGCCAGAGCCCGCCCCCCCGGACCCCCCCACCCCAGCCCGTTCCCCCGGAACCTCCCCGCCAGAGCCCGCCCCCCCCGGACCCCCCCACCCCAGCCCGTTCCCCCGGAACCTCCCCGCCAGAGCCCGCCCCCCCGGAACCCCCACCCCAGCCCGTTCCCCCCGGAACCTCCCCGCCAGAGCCCGCCCCTCCCGGACCCCCCCCACCCCAGCCCGCCCCCCCCCGGACCCCCCACTCCTGCCAGAGCCCGCCCCCCCGGAACCCCACCACAGCCCGTTCCACCGGAACCTCCCCGCCAGAGCCCGCCCCTCCAGACCCCCCCACCCCAGCCCGCCCCCCCGGACCCCCCACCCCCGCCAGAGCCCGACCCCCCCGGACCTCCCTCCACAGCCCGCCCCCCGACCCCCAACCCCCGTCAGAGCCCGACCCCCTGCCACAGCCCGCCCCCCCGGACCCCCCACCTTCGCCAGAGCCCGAACCCCCCCGGAACCCCACCACAGCCCGTTCCCCCAGACCTCCCCGCCAGAGCCCGCCCCCCTGGACCCCCCCCCCCCTCCACAGCCCGCCCCCCCGGACCCCCCCACCCCCGTCAGAGCCCGACCCCCCGCCACAGCCCGCCCCCCCGGAAACCCCACCCCCGCCAGAGCCTGACCCCCCCCCCGGCCCCCCTCCACAGCCCGTTCCCCCCGGACCCCCCCCGGGCCCGCTTGGCAATTCACACAGGCTGAGGCCGTTCAGAACCGCGGCGCCCTGCAGCCAGATGTGCCCCCTGCAGGCCGGGCCATCACGGATCCTGGGCAGGGGTGCCACCCTCCAGGATTGTCCGGGAGTCTCCCGGAATGGAAGATGAGTCTTCAATTAAGGATTCTGTCCTGTGATGAAACCTCCAGGAATCCCTCCAACCAACATGGGTAACCCTAATCCCATGGCAAGGTGACAATAGCAACACCTGACCTTATGAACACAGGATCAGATTCCTGCTCCTTCCCGCTGCTGCAGGGGTTAGCGCAGACATCGCAGTGCAGCTTGTTCAGCAGGTAGCATCGGGTTTGCTCAGGGGCCTCTGCAGTTCTGAGCAGAGTACCCCCATACTGGTCTGTGTGTATGGGCTGCCTAGACAAAGTGGTCAATTGCCCTTACACTATTACTGGCTTTATAAAGTTTTACACCATCATGTAGGCTCTGGCTAGAATTCCTATCTTGCGTGTGAACCTCATTCTGATGAGTACCTGGATTCCAGAGTTGCCAGTTTTGC